TCTAGAATAATTTGCCTGAACCCCGGGGGTTCATAAATTTCACCCTGAACCAGGGGTCCAGAATAAGGACGCTCTAAAATTTACGCATGCATATCAAATCACGCAATTACGTGTTAGTCACGTTGGAATTACGGATTCGTCACGCGATCTGCAATAATTTGTTATTTTATCTATAATCCGAGAGACCGTTAAACTGACAATTGCATCAGCATTGTAAGATTACTTGGCGAGATGATCGATTTTGTGTATCGTCAGCTCCGTTCCACGGACATTAGATTATTTTTTGTGTTGATAAGATGGTTGTCTTTGTTAGCTGGTGAGAAAATATATTTAAATGTCCTTGTTAATGATGTAAGTGGGATACCAAGATACTTCTACCTAGATCATGCAGAAATTCCATTAACTTCAGAGGTAGGATGGTGTACAAGAGCCTTAATAAGATTGTTACTAACCTTGAGAAATATTATAATTGTGAATAAGAATTTGCTTAAACAAGCAATGGAGCAGGCTGTTTCATATCCACCCATGAAATACTTCTCCAAGTCTCACGGTTACTACACCGGAACACGATTATCAATAGATTTTTCTTCGTATATCATGTATTTTATCCTGTATTTCATCAATATTCGTGGAGATATTCGCGTTTAATTCAAACGTCCATGAAAATTTTTCCGCCATAAATTTATGACGGGCGTTCGAGTTTAAACGCGAATATTTCCGCGGATATCGATGCTATCTGAATGAAACACATATTACCTTGTAGCCAAGAACTAGGGCTTTCGATCTATTTTAGAAATACCTTAGTAGAAAATCATTCTCTGTCCCATAAATCACGGCTAACAGAATTTTTTGCACAATCTTATGTATAAATCACATGATTTATACGTTTGAGGTGAAATAAATATTTGCAGGTGGCCATGGTGAGTGATTTCCTAGGTACAACGTTTGACCAACAAGACAAGAGAATAACCTTGGTGTATAAAGTTGTAATCTGTGATGAACATTACAGTTTAAAGACCTGTGAAAATTGTGAACATCTTCAAAAATTGGAATCAAGCAAAACTTTCAGTGTCAAATAGAGATAAACAATTAAAGCTTACCCCATCTATGATGGTTGCAGGGCTTGAATAAGGGGAATCAATTTTGGACAAGTTTAATTGCAAAAATGAATGGCTAAGAAATTATTCGAGATTGCAAAATGCATACACATTATTATAGTTATTTATTTTATAATTTAATAAAGATCATCACAAAAAGCACCTCGCTCAACAAAGCAAAATATAAGTTTCTTCTTTGGGAACAGTGATCATGAACTCCTTTTGAACTAAGATTTTCACCTGGTACTAAAATTGAAAACCTAATCCTTGGTTTGCACATGATTTTCAATTATGTATGCATGTATATATGTTAATACAATTTGAATTTTTAAATAAGTTACAGATTGCACAGTTAAATAATCAAAAATATTATTATAAATAATGTCTATTTATGATAAGAAGGATTTACATTTTTTAGAGTTGTCGTAAGACAACTTTGACTTTAATCTTTGATATATTCTTTTAGAATTCTCCAACGTCATCATCTTCATCCATTTCACCTTCAGCAATTTCTTTGGCCAATTCCCTCTCTCTTTCACGAAGAGCTTCGGCTGAAGCTAATTCTTTACGATGAGCATTAAGGGGAAATCTCATAGCCTTTTAAAAGTTAAACCAAGAAATTAAAAATTAATAAATTGATGAGAAAATAAATTCCTATTTAAAGTAAACAAACCTTGACTGATTCATTATGAAGATTTGAGCAAAAAGTGATACGCTGATTTAAAGCATATTGAGGCTCATTTGTTGAGTAAATATCAATAATTTCCTATAATAATAAATGTGAAAATACCACCAATTTAAAAATTTTATAGGAATAAAATATTAAAAACTAAAGGAAATCAAATTACCTTCGATTTCATGAACCCTTTTTCATGGTCTATGGTAGCATCAATCACACCATCACGAATGGCCTTCATTATTTAGTCGATGAAATGGTAGAAATAGTCAATCTACCTTTCAATCAATAACTTATGGTAATCAATCATTTTCGTTACCTTGGTTACAATATATTCTGCATCCTCCTCACTGTCAAGATGTAATTTCAAACATATATCGCGTAAAGATATTCGAGAATATGACAAACTTATCATACGAATGCCTGTCTTAATAACATTATGTCGAAGTCTGTAAAAATATTTATTATAATTAAATTAATAAAATATAAATTCCGAAATAATTCAAATAAAAAATTTACCTTATAATCAAGGTGAATGTTTTGTCAGCACGAAAAACTTCTCCATATTTAGCTAAAGTTTCTTGAAATTTTGAGAGGTCCCCAATTCGCACCGCTAAAAGAAAGAAAGAAAGAAAAGTAAGATCATAATAATATTATGGCCGAAATAAACAAAAAGATTTAAAATAAAACTTAACCTTGAACAATATGCAAATATGGAACTAAAGGTTTTTTTAACACTGGTTGCCTAAATATAGATCGCTCTGGAATTTCCCCCATTAAAAGTTGAACGATAATCGAAAGCTTATAAACCTAAAAATTTTTATAAATATTGATAAGTTTTATTTGTAAACTTCATTAACTCACTAACGGTGGTATATTATTATTATTTTTTTTTCGCATAGTAAAATATAAGAGATGATATTTACAGCTTGTTGAAAGCCAGCTGTAGTAACATTCTGAGAAGCCTTACGGATGGCCTGTAACAAATGAGTGTGAGAAACGGTATAATCTAGTTGAATAGCTTTGATACGGCCTAATATAATAAATATGATATAAAAATTAAGTCATTTATTTATTTATTTATTTTTTTTTTTTTTAAAAAAAAAGATTCGAGTTATGATTAAATAATAATAATTACCAAGATAATACATATATCGAGCCTGTTGATTATTACCGGCGGTTTCAGGAAAGGTAGTTTTGCTAACAAGCTTGTCAGCTTGATCATATAAATTGTAATGAAAATAATTACGTAATAAAAGATTAAGCAAGGTGGCCTAAATTAATATAATAAAAATTTATGTTAAGCAAATCTATTCATTGATTTTTGGAAAAGAATAAACTGTCATAAATTAAAAAATGATGATATACCTGAGTATCATCATCGTGACGCAAAGTTGCAGTCCTTTGAGCAGCCAATAAAGTTCTAATAAAAAACCATAAATATTTTGAATTTAAAATTAAGGCTTACGAAAGGCAACAAAAGCAATAAATTCCTACGGTCTAATTTCGGCCAAGTTTCCTGTAAGTTCATAAAATCGTGCATAATAAAAATATGTGCGTGCAGACAATTGATCCAAGGTTCGACGGTTCAAATTTTGAACTTTGGTAATCGTCTCATTTGAAAGTAGGATACCCTACGAAATAAAGTAATTAAAATTATAAGTTTAATAATAAAATATCTTGAATTCCTCTTAAATTCATATAATTCACATAATTCACGTACCTTATCGAAATCTTGTTTATCCAACAAATAAATCATTGTCAATAAATGAAGGTATAGGTCGATTTCAGGCAAAATTGGTGGAATATCTTTTGCGGCATCATCCAAATCGAGATCCATAATACCAGAGTCCTATTTAATTTAATCAAAAAGTCAGCTTTCTTTATGAATTTAATCAAGAATTTCAATTGTTTAATTACCTTTCCCAAAAAATCCAAAAGTCTACTTTTGTCAATAGAATCTATTTTTCAAAGTTCAAAGGTCATGGTTGTCAGCTTTCCTGATCAGCAGGTATCAATTCGATTAAAATAATTTCGCGTTGGTAAGTATGTCATTTTTCTCGATGACGACTTCCACTTCAATAACTTCAATATGAATATGAATTCTCTCGTTACGAGAATTTAACCTCTATATATATTTTTAAAGTTTAATATAACTAATTAAATTGCTGACCTTTCGGGTAAACTTCCTTAATAGCTTGAGCTAAAACATCTGCAGTCAACCGTTTTCTAATAGATGCAGTAGTTCTAAGAACGCGTGTCGTAAACCGTGACTCAATGGTAGAAACAGCACGTTCAAGAAGAGTAAAGTTTTGCTTGAGATCTAAAAAATAATAACAAATATGAAACAGGGAATTTCAATATAAAATTTTAAAAGAGTAAACTTTGGAGACATACCCGACAAGACTAAAGAGGATGCATCAAGTTCCGGTCCTTTCTTTTCAATCTCGTCAGCGTGCTCCATTTCGATGTCTTGGTTGTCTAAAGCCATTATACCGTAACTTTTTCCCGATCTTAAATGTACTTAATTGTCTAGTTACGGGAAATTTTTCTAGATTTTGATAAATTGCGTAATCAATATATTTCCAGTGATATCCCACGTGATTTTTCATGCCATAAAAAATCATCAAAAAAAAGTTTATGGTCTGTCATTCATAATGAACGAAGGAAAGTTTTGTCAAGGGAAAGATTGTATAAAACCTGCTAAACTACAATGTCCTAAATGTTTGAAATCAGAAATTAAAGGCTCATACTTTTGTTCGCAAGAATGTTTCACGAAGAATTGGGTAAAAATTTTTTTTTTCAGGATGTAAGCACATTTGACGCGAATTACATCTTAAATAAATTCCTTTCTTCCAGGCTACACATAAACTATTACACCAAAATAAATCAACCAAATGTAATTATAACAATATTATTTTTTTTTAAATAAAATTCATATATAAATTATTGATAAATAATTATTATGGTCTTTTTTTCAGTGGCCGAAAACTATGTTATGGCATTTCCTTACACTGGTGACTTACGAGCTATATATCCTCTTTCTCCACGAAGACTTGTTCCTGCTCATATTAAAAAACCAGATTATGCGGATGATCCAAGAGGTCAAAGAAATTTTATCGTATAGAATTTTCTTTTATTTAGCAATGATTCAGGTTCCATTTACTCCTTATATTCACAATTAACAGGTATACCAGAATCCGAAACAAAAAATCGTAGTTACATCCAAGTTTTGAGCAATGATGAAATTGCGGCGATGCGAAAAGTTTGCACGGTTTGAAAGTCAATTTTTATGCAAAATTTTTATTAATTCACCAAAGAATTATTCAATAGAATGACAAATTTGTCACATTTGTCACGTTTAGCTCGCTCGTGAAGTTTTGGATATCGGCGCGGCTGCAGTTAAACCCGGAGTTACAACTGATGAGATCGATCGTATTATACACGAAGCAACTATCGAACGTGATTCCTATCCATCGCCTTTGAATTATTATGAATTTCCAAAATCGGTTTGCACGTAAATGCATAAATTGAATCAATCTTTTGTTATTTGGTATAATATTATAACAAATTTTTAACTTTATATTACATTTTAGTTCAGTGAATGAAGGTATTACAGGAAACCATGAAATTCATTCACTGTTATTGTAAACAAATATAAATGCTACCGCGGTTGACGTTACCTTGATAATTCTGTTAGTAATTTGCCACGGTATCCCAGATCGTCGAGAATTACAAGACGGTGATATTGTTAATTTAGATGTAACTCTATATCATGACGGATTTCATGGGGATTTGAACGAAACCTATCCCGTTGGAAATGTGGACAAAGAAAGTCTGAAACTCATAAAAACAGCAAAAGGATGTCTGAATAAAGCTATCGAATGTGGTAAGATTATAAATTTGTAATTTTGGTGAAACTAATGAATTTTCTATACTAATCTTTAATTAATAGTAAAACCTGGATTTTTGTATCGTGATCTCGGCGTGGTTATTGAAAAACATGCAAAGGCTAATGATTGTTCTGTTGTTCGAACTTATTGTGGTCACGGTATTCATAGGTAAATATCAATAATTTCATTATATTATTTTTATCAAACAATGATATGATTTTTTCCTTTTACATTTTTTTCTTCCAGATTATTCCATTGTGCCCCAAACGTTCCACATTATACAAGTATGCATGCCTTCAGCTATATTTTTTTTTGGAGTAAATTAAGTAAAATTATCGGTTTTGTTTTTTTTTTCTTTTTTTAAATCAAAAATGTTATTTTCAATAGGGAACAAAGCGGTTGGAAAAATGAAACCTGGAAATGTTTTTACAATCGAGCCAATGATAAATCTTGGTAAGTTTTATGGAATAATATATATTTTTATATGTGATACGAACTAAATGATTGATTTTTTATTTCAGGCACATATTACGATAGACTTTGGCCCGACAAATGGACAGCAGTTACGGAAGATGGTAAACGCAGTGCACAATTTGAACATACTTTATTAGTCACTGAAACTGGTGTCGAAATTTTGACAGCAGGAATAGGTGAAAGACGATTCTATCCCGAACAATGAATTCTCAAAAAAAAGAAGACACCCAATCGTATTTATTATTTTAAATATCATTCTGATAGAATATATATTATAGTCTTTAAAAATCTCTAATTAAAGACGATCACTTAAAGTAACTTCCAATTTATATCCATCAATTTGTACATTATTTACATTATTTAAATGTGTTAATTTATATCCATATACTGTTGATCTAACAAGTTCGGAACCGGAATCTTTTTCAAACATTGGTTCCATAATTTCCTCAACAATTTTTTCTACTTTAAACATATTATCTTTCTGCGCTTCTTCAAAGAATTTCATATCTCTATCTGCAAGATGCGGTCTATGATGAGTGAAAAACACAAGAATTTGACCATGTTTATCCAAGCATTTTTCACAAGTTTTCAATAATGCTGAATGTTGTGAATGGTTAAATATTAGATCTGACATTATAATTAAATCAAAATGTGAATCTTTTGATTGTGATATTGCATTTAAAAGAGGATCCGTATTGTATCCCCAAATATATCCCTGATATTATGAGAGAAGTGTAATTAAAGAATGAAAAATAAATAATTGAAATATATTAAATAATAAAAGTGAAATTTACCAAAATTTCTATATTTTCATGGCTCGATAAATTTGTTGTTATATTATATTTAATATTTTCAATCAATTCTTCATCGGGGTAATCCGTAATAACTACCTAAATACGCCAATGAAACAAAAATTTTTTAGAAATTCAAATTTTCACTTTTTTTTTTTGGAATAGATCACAAATATACAATAACCAACCTTTTTCGCGCCATTCACGGCTGAAATAATGGATGGTAATGCGCCCCCCGCTCCAAGTTCCAAAATATTTTTACCACGAATTAATTCTTTATGTCTATCTAAATACCAAACGAGACATTTACTTGCGTTCCACAATACATGTGCCCATAGTGGATGTGATCCAACTAATCGAATATTAAAAGTTTGCGAGCTTTCTTTTGAGAATAAAAAGTAAATTAAAAAAAAAAATTAAAAGAATTAAAATGTAGTATCAAATATTAATTATGCTTCATAAATACCAGAAAGTATGTCTATGTCTTCTTCTTTTCGTTTAAATAAGTGGAATGTCGGTTCGGGCGTTGGCACCTTATATTCCTCTGGTTCCTTGTATAATAGTCCCAATTATATATTATTGGAGAAAGTCACGTAATTAAAGCAATGGTGATTTTTCGGATAATTAATCATAAACACCTCAAAGAGTGAAAGATCTTGTTCTTCAAGTTCTAAACGATCGTTCTCACACAACGTCGACATGATTAAAAAAAAAATCTAACTTATCACGCGCACATCAAACTTTTTTTTTAGGAAAGGCATTTTTTTACTTTTTTATCTGAAGTTCACGTGAGCAAGTTAAAAAGGAAATTTATGTACTACAATAAAATTATTAAATTAGTTATTCACTAAACTCTTCTAGAATTTCCATCGCTTAGTTTCCGAAGGCGAAAGGCTAAACCAGTTTTAGCCCACCTATAATTTATAGGCGTAAGACTAAATTAAGGCTAATACTTTATCTATTATTAAATTTTTATAGAATGAATTACATCTAAATTTAGAATTTAATTTAGTGTTTAATCTACAATTTAGTCATTCTATAATCCAGTGGCTAATACTAAATAATAATTTTAGCCTTTTTAAATTTAATTATGACGTCTCTGTATTTTATTATGATGTCATGAAATTTAAGTTTTAAAATTGTAGGAATAAAATAAGAACCAAATTTTTGATTGTCGCGTAATTTTATAACGCGTCAAAAAATAGGATTTTGTGTAATGAAAATGCAAGAAAAATGTGATTTTGCTAAAAATTCAATAAAATTTAGTTAGTATTGTAAAAATCATGCCATAAACAAAAATCTTCTCGCTGATAGTTTAATTTAATTAATTTAATTGTATAATTGATAGTATAAATAATAGCATAATTGGTAACTTTCTTCTATACAATAAATATATAATAAAATACGATTGGTATAAATATAATAAATATTATGATAACAATTTAACACGTTTTAAAAGGTTTAAAAATAAATAAAAATGCCACCGAAATACCAAAATCGTAAAGTTATTCATAAATTACCTAGCGATGATTCTGGAAATAATAGTCCAGATCAAGAAGGGTAAAAAAAAAAAAAAAAATTAATTCGGTTAAAAAAAAAAAATTTATTTACTACTATTTTTATTACTATCATTATTTCTTAGAGATGATTTCGTTCAAATCTTTGCAGCTTTTCATAGTAAGTATTCTTATTCCTATATATAACGATTATATAATTATAGGTTATAATAATTTACTAATAAAATAATAATAATAATAAATAAAATAATAAATAAAATAATAATAATAATAATAAATAAAATAATAAATAAAATAAATAATAATAATAAATAATAACAATTTTATGTATAGATCAAATGGAAAAGAAAGTTAAAGATAAACAAAAAAAATTGGCAACAGAATGTGATAAAACAATTCAACATATTTTAGATTTGTCAAACGAACTTGTTTCACGACAACGGCAAGAAATGTAAATTATATAATTGATAGTTTAAAATATTTCGAATTTGAATACATATTGAAATACATATTAAATATAATTAATTTTATTTTTTTTACCTAGAGATGAAAAAGCTAATGAATATAAAAGCAAATTAGAAGAATTAGAAGAAGACAGGCTTGCAATTATTAAAAAATTGAGATCTGAAGAAATTAAATATTTGGTATCTAAAGATTAATTTTAAAATTTAGTTCTATTTAACTATATTAATTATATTTAATTATATTAATTATATTATTATTAATAGCAATTACACAATTCTGTTATTAATGAATTTGAAAATATAGAAATGGCACAATTAGAAACAATTCAAAAATTTGAAAAGAATTATTGTTCATACATCGATGGTAAATATATCAATATTCTTTTTATATTTTATATACATATATTTATATATACACCTTTATACACATAGATTTAAGTGACCGTTTACAAAGTCCCATAGTTCGAAAATGTTTTATGAAAAATCCATTTGTTGAAAATAATTAATTTATTTATTATTTGCGTCGAATTTCATAATTTATTATACGATAACATTATCAAGATATTTTTTAAGTTGTGAAACTATAAACATTTTTTTATTGAAATGATCAAACGAATTGAAATTAAAGAACAAAAATTAAAATCAAATAAAAAAAAAAAGCTACGTTTTAAATTTTTTTTTTTTTTGAAAGAGAAAAAAGAATAGAAATGTGAAATATGTGAAATATGTAAAATGGAGCATCAGAAACATTTGTTAGAAAAGTTCTGGAGTTTCTTACATAATAAAATGCAAAAGAATACTTTTTTTTTGGTGTGGTGTTTTTTTTTTTCATGCAAGATGTTTGTTTTTGAGAAATGAATAAAATATTTATATTTTTTGATTGATTTTTTTTTTTTGTGAAAAAAAAAAAACACCACACAAACGACGACTGCAACATGAAGAGAAAAAAATATACAAAGAAGAGAAATGAAAATAATAATAATAATAAAAAATGAACATTTTTGTTTTTTTTTTTTTGATACAAATTAACAATTAATACTACCACACCCTAATAAATTTCAAACATTGATTATAGGGATTTTGATCTCGGTGTAGAATAATAAAACTTGGCGGCGGAAACTTTATTATTATTAATAGTAACATTAGCGGCTGATGATCTTCTACGTTTCTTATGTTCCTTTTTTTCTGGTTTTTTATCATAACCAGTTAAGTATCGCATGTACAAGAATGTTTCTGCTACACCGATGATAGCACTTCCGGCCAATGCGAGTAACACGCGCTAAAAATATATTTAAATAATATTCAAATAATTAAATAATATAATATGATAAATAATTTAATGTTGAAAATAATTACCATTCCCGTATCACCAGTAATATTCTGTGCTACATGATAAACCGCCGCAAATACCGCCACAATCGTAAACGTGATATTAATTATTGCAGTAAGTTGACCTCGAACACTTTGAAATTCTTCAGTATCAAGAATTTTAAAAGTTTCAACATCATAAGAAGATGCAACCTTTCCAACCATACGAGCATATTCTTTATTTGCTTGATCAGCTAGAATAGATTCTAATCTAGCAAGTAATTCGGGATCCTTTGTTTCTTTTTTTCGTGGCTCCACGTAAACTCCACTTTCATTAAGTAATTCATGTAACCAGAATTCTGAAAGACCTAAAATATATTTAATATTTTTTAAAATATATATGTAAAAGGAAATAATAATATTAAGGTTAGATTGTGTAACTGTATAAGGCACAAAGCATAAACCATGTAAACGTGTTAAAACATGTTAAAAACACGTTAAAACACGTGATAAGAAATAAAAAGGGTTAAAAAGACAAAAAAAGTTGACATAATCTTAAAATGGAAAGATTTTCTACGATAATGGCTATTGTTATTATAAAGGATATTATTGTAAAAGATATCATTATAAAGGATATCATAAAGAACATTATTAAGGTTAGGCAGGGTGAGGGTACACCGATCGATTGAGAAAATCAAGTGAGAACAATATGAGAAAAAAACTATTTATTTTTTTTTCTATGTGGCGTAGACATTAAACCGGTCAAAAACAAGTAATAAAGCATCAATGAATTGAAATTGGTCAAAGCACCTCTCAAAGGAAAAGAGAGAAAAAAAAGAGAGAAAAAACTAGTAATAAAACCTGAATTTTCGAGGTGTAACCTTAATAGGAAAAAAGAAAACGTAATAAAATTTTCTAACTACAGCAATTAAGATGATCAAAAAAAAATGGTGTGAAAATGTGAAATAGAAAATAAAAAGTGAAAGGGAAAGAGAAAGTAAGGAAAGAAAAAACATAGAAAAAGAATAACAAAAATATCCAATTCAATTACCAATTTCTTTTCCAAGTTTTCCATCGCGATTAGTTAGGAATTTTGATACCTCTTTCATGAGGTCAAGAGGAATACAAGAAGAACTGGTAAGATAAGATTTTAATCTTCGTTTAGCCGATTCATCAAAATCTGGGGATTGTAAAGCTTGACGAACTGCGCCTCTAATACGGTCAGTTAAGACTAATAATACCATTTTGCTATAAATTTTTTTTTTTTTTAAATTGCTTTCAAAATTATGTTGTTGTTTTTAAAACAGATATAAAAATTGTATCATTAAATTTTTTAATAACTTTAATAAAATTTTTTAATTATTTCTGTAATTGCTAATAAAGAAAGAAATCGAAATATTTTGTTAACAAAAAAAAAATTGGTTGTATTTTAATAGATTCGTTATAAAGTTATTAAAAGGAAAATAAAAATTAGAGATTATAGGAAGGAGGCCAATTTATTATCATTAAAAAATATTTGATAAGCGGCGGTCACAGAAATAAAAAAAAAAAATATTTTTTTTGAAAAGATGACCGAGGTGAGAAAAAAAAAAAAAAAAAGAGAGAATAGGCAAGGTATAAATAATTATTTGGTTTAACAGAAAAATAATGTGATACTATAAAGTAGATTGAAATATATTGAATATATAAATAATTAAATATAATTAAATATAATACAATAATAATATATAATATAGTTTAATATTTACTTTTCTGAGTAACCACGATAAAATAAAATAAAATTTTTACGTCAATAGATAAAACACAATAAAAATATACATCAATCAATCAATGTAAATTATTATTGAGGAAAAAAAAAAAAAGAGGAAAAGAGAGAACGCTTTTCTAAAAGTAGAAATAAAATAACGTAAAATAATTATTATCATTATTTTTTTATTTTTATCACCTCAAACAGTTTATTCTAACTGTTGTCATTCTAAAAAGTTATTCTCTCAAAGTGATCGATCGTTAACTAGTTTTTAAGTAATAAATATAGTAATTAAAATGTAGAAATAAGATGTCATCCTATTAGTGGGCAAACGCAAGTACAATATTTGAGACATATATATCGACATTGAGTAACTTAATAATTTAAAGTATCACGGGGAATTATCATAATGTTACGCAACGTAATAAAGTTTTGAAAATAAAGATTATCTTGGTAACCTTTGGTAACCAATTAATTGACGTGTAGATTTCATTTTTGGATTTTTTGGATTCGTCTATCATTTCTATCATTTCGAGAATTTCGAATCGTCGAATCGATCGTCGAATTGATTGTCGAATTATTATTATCACAATTGAATTAAATAATTAATTGTCAATTTATAATATTGTCAATTTTATAAATATATTGTGAATTGTCAATTTTTATAAATAAATTGTGATATTCTCAATTTTATAAATAAATTATCAATTTTATAAATAAATTTAATTTTATAAATAAATTTTTGAATTGTCAATTCGATTTTATAGCGTTCCCAAAAAAGAAGTCTGATCAACCATAATAATCATAATATTACCTAGAAGTATCACCTAAAGTATAAATTAGGAGTATCAACTAGGAGAATTAACCGTAGTATTATTAACACCCAAATTATGTCACAGGGGAATAAAAAAATCACTTATTCGCCTCTTTTTTATCCAGAATCCTGGCAAGAAAACGTAGGTAGAGGAAATAAATCCGAAAGCTTTTTGACATCTGGTAGACCATTGCCATAAAGATGATCTGCAATTCAAAATAAATTCAAAAATAGTTGCTACATATAAAGTTTTTTTTTTTAATTAATTAAACATCAAAAATGATACTAAATAAAAACTCAAAGAGAAATAAAATGTGCCTATCATAAATTTTTCAGATCTATTGCTTTAAGAATTTAAAAAATAAATTTTAACTGCAAATTTTTGAAAATTTTGAATGATTACATAATTGCAGAATGATTACATAATAGTAGAAAACAATGAACAATTACAGAATACAACGGAAAATTATCTAATATTTGACAAGTTACATTTATTTAATTTTCATTTAATTAATATATTTTCACTTCAATATCAGTTAAATCCATTTGTACATGGTGAATCTGATAGTGAACCAATTGCTTTTAACTTTTGTTATATGTTTTTGCTAATTCTATAATTTTAAAAAGAAAGTTTCTAACTTAATTCATTAAATTATATAATATTTTAAATATATATATATTCCTTCAATATATAATTCCAGCACACAATATTTCTTCCAAGTGAATTATTTGAAATATTTCCAGTATGATCTAAAAATTCTAGATAAGGTCTTCTCCAATATCACCGTTCACACTATTAACTATAGTTATACGAATTACTCATTGTGGTCATATACGAAAAACTCGTTTTCAACTTTTAAAATAACTGGCAGGAATCTATCAGTAAATTCTTGCCTTAAAATCTCTTAGTAACGTAACCAGTATTGAGACATAAACTTTGGTTGTGTTCAAAAGTCTCTTGATCAACCCAATGCTGGTCCTGGATTGAAAATAAAAAGGAAATTTGCATATAACTGGGAACATCAAAGCTTCTATTCTAGAAACCATAACCTTAATTATCAAGTGGCATGATAATGGTGAATGAGCGATCTTAACAGAAACGACAGAAACGGAAACGAATTCTGATTTAGATTACAGAAAGAATATATTAGTAGTCTATCTAAGAGTGTAATCGATGGTATCAGCACATGAAAGTTACTACCGTTTTCATTCTAACTTATGTTAAGACTCTACTTCTCCTGGCGTACCAATTTTACTTACTCATTTTTCACATGAATAGCGAGGGTTCATCGTAATATTCGGGAAAGAATATGAACTGTGAAAAGAGAAGAAATAAAAATAATCTATCATTTTTATTAGCCGAGAAATTATATTGATTTGGTAATTAATGTCCAAATGTACATATTAGAATTTTTTTTTAAAAAAAAATCATCAAATTATTAATAAAACAGAATAAAAAGTAATAAGTACAAATTAAAGTTAATATAATTGAATCTTCACTCTAAATTCTTTTTTTTTTTTTACTAAATCTTTCGCATATTAATAAAACCAATTTAAGTTTCGTTTCCATTCCCGTCTTTCTTGTCTTTCTTTTCTTTAGGTACTGGAATTGTCATTCCTCCTGAACTAGCTCTCGAAAGTATTCTTTCAGCCCATTTTACAACGGGGAGATCGATCCTATTACACCCAAATTTAAAATGAATGTACATTTAAATATGTAAATACCTAAGAACCACAGTCATTCAATAGCCTCCATATAATAAATACTTGCATTTTACCATCCAAGTCAAACGCACCGATTCCTTTTTTAGCGTGTTGTTCATATCCATAAACTATTCGCGCAGCTCTTTCAACATCTACGTGATAATTTTAATAATGTAATAACCATTCTGTTAAAGTTTATTTTAAAAATTATTTATATAATACCTTGTTCGTCAGGTAGAAACATTTTTTGTATAATATCAATTTGACGAGGGTGAATAGCTTGCTATAAGAAAATAATAAATAATAAAAATAATAATAAAAATAATAATAGGTGTATGAATAAAAAAGAATAAAAAGGTCCAATGAACTTGCAGGTCGTCGTTAATTTACCTTTCCAAGAAATCCCATCTCTCGACCTTCTTTACATTCCTCTATTAAAACATCATCATTCCTGAAATCAACACAAACCTGCATAGCATTAAATGATAATTGAACATTTTATAATTCATAAACTAAATTTTGATTTATGTGTTGTAAAATTATTACTAAATCAATCGACTGCAATCCGTACGCGCTGGCAGTTGTCACTAAAGTTTGCCGCGCTAACAACATTTCTTTGCGTGAAGGTGTTCGTATAAGTCCTTATCCAAAAATTTGATTATGTCAATGATCGAATTTAATTTCATAACTAAATGTAAATACTGTACGAAACGTATAAAATCATAAATTCTTACCAACATCTGCGCAATAATCTTCCGCGGCAAACTAAAAAATTTTAGGTTAAAAACTTTTGTCATTTAATTAGAATTTAATGATTATATAATAATAATAAAAATACTTACCACTAATGCATCCAAACGTGGATCTGATATGGCAATTTCTTTGAGATTCATGATTCCTAAAGCACTTTCTATGGATGCTATCAGACGAATTTTGGATCGACTAAATTATAATCAAATGTATGCGCAAGAATTTTACAAATGAATTATATTATACACAAGTATTGAATTCTTTTAATAGAATACTTACTTCTCATCTGGTGCAACAGAATCAATCATACGACTAACAAACTGAATATCTTTAGCGGATCGTACTTTAGGTATTACGATTCCTTCGAGATGTTTTGATTGAAGCTAAATATAAATTTACCTTTATCAATAATATTTATTAAATAATTCTTTAAAATTAGAATAAAACTTACCATAACATTAAGATCATCCAATTCTAGACCTATTATCATATTGGATGCCAAAAAACGTGTTGTTGGTGCATATCTAATGGATTGGATTTAATGACATGAGTTATCAAAAATTTACCGGATCCAACTGCATTAATACGAACTGTTCTCTCGGATTTTGATTCAACTGCTGCCTGAAATTATGATAACAGAGATATATATATAAGTTTTAATCACAAAAAATTTATTGATTAATCATTGATTATTATATTTACCTCTAAAATGTTAAAGACCATTTCTCTCGCAATGCCTTTCCTATTAAAAGCAACACTATCTTCGAGATCATATACAATACTGTCTGCAGATATATTTAGAGAACTTTTGATCTTACGTTCTTCACTACCTGGAACTATAAAATTCAAAAATTTAAAAAGAAAATCAGAATTCAAAGGTAAAAAGAATTCAACAAAAATTTTCATCAGTAAACTTTATTGTCACCATAAAATAATGCCCTCCTAGTTCGTGTTACGGGTGGTGGAATGACAGTTTCAATTTTTGGTGCGTCACTTGCATAATTTCGCGCGAGGCGCGAAAAATTTCTTGTTAAACCGTGTCTTATACATGGAATTATAATTCTCGTAGCTATTATTAGAGAGGCCATGAGAATAATTTAGATAAGATTTTTTTTCCGTTTAAACAAAGAAACGTTAACATACTCGTAGGCGTTAGTAAAGTAAAAGAAAACATTTTTGTTTCGAACAATTATCGTGTCGCGAAGTTTTTGAAAGCACTTTATCCAGAATAAGATCGTCGCATCTTATCTGAAAAGCTGATGTGATATGTAAAGTATATATCACACAATTTTTTTTTTTTTTTGAGTACATATCATATATTCTTAAAAAGGTAAAACATTACAGAAAGTTGATTTATTAAAATTAAAAATATAGTTCATAATTTAGATGTCATTCCAAAATAAAAAATAAATGTGTAATAAAATCGAATGGAGTCAATGGTATGAATAACGTAGCATTAGAAGAAAAGTAATGATTGATAATTATGATAAGAAAATCGAATCTTGTTAAATTGTGCCGATATTTTCATCCCATGCAGGGGTTCGAGTTAAGGGTTATGAGTAGTGTATTATCAGAATTTTTTACAACCGTAAATTATCAAATTACATCACTGTAGAATGAATTACTTGAGTATAATAATCCATGGAATCAATAAGGAAAGCATAGTGCAGAAATTACAGAAATGTTGGCTTGCTGACCGTAAAACGTCCAACTGCCAAAGAAATCTACGAATTGTTTGTCATGTGAGCAGAAGAGGCTCGTCAAAAGAGTAAGAGAAACTTTACATCCAAGACTTTTATTAAAGTCAAATATTGACAATTATAACAAAAGGTAAGAGTTGAATAATCCATTTTTATAGAATATAAATATTTAAATTAGATCATTGGTTTTCTTTCTCTTAGAATTAACTTTCATGAACTTGATATTGGTGATAATGGCAGTTACCCTGGCTTTAATAGTCACTTTCAATATAGTCAACTTTGATATAGTAAAACCTTTCATCGGATCAAATGGGAATCGGCAAATCCAATCTGACCCACCATCGAATTTTAGCAAATTAATTTCATTATAGTTACATTTAAATAAGTGAAAGTCATTTCGACACAGAAAATCAAAACAAAATATTATATGCAAATGGAGAAAAAAATGCATCAGCAAGGAACATGAAACAATCAAAATTTGGGCAATCTTGAAGTTCATAATTATTCATCTACATACGAAAAGTTATACAATTTATTTTTACTTGAAAAGGGAAAATTCTCGAAAATTTAAATGATGAACATGTGTGAAACAGAGATATTTTCTCGTTTTTGTGCTTGTCGTCTTTTTCTGATTCTTTTTAGCAAAGCTTCTACTATGGTATAACAGGAAACAAAATTACCACCACAACAAAAAGATCTACAAATACGATCAATGAGCCAATAGATTGTAAAACAAAACCACCTCCAAACTCTTTTCTACTCAAATTTGTGTGGTCTTCCAATGCTTTACCTATAAAGAATCCCCAACATCCATTGCGACGCATAACAAAATTAAACAAATTTTATAAACTACATCTTCTACAGCTAACGCACAAACACATATGAGTGGTGTAGTTATTCCCATAGATAATCTAGTTCCTGCATCAAGCTTGTACATGACAAGATTTTTTCAGTGTAAAGGTATTGGATTTGCGATTCTGTTATCGAAAGGTATCTGTTAAGTCAAAACGTCCGTGCAAGAGTGGAAAATTTTGGAAAACTAGGTTTATTGAAATTTTACTTGACGAATTCGATTTAATAAAATGTATCTGGGTTTTCGATAAACTTTGATTTATCAAATTTCAATTTGATTCAGACAAAAGATAAATATGCTTTTGCTGTCGTACAAGTATAACAAAATTTTCTTGGAAAGCGTAAGTAATTTTGCATTGATCCTTGGATTATTTAAATTTCAGCGACAGCCGTCGTCAAAAATTCAAAAAAATATAGTTAAAATCAACGAATAAAAATATTACGGATCACTTAACTAACGATACGTGAATTTTTGAAATATAATTGTTTCATAAATAATTATTTTCGCTCAATGTACAACTTGATCTATTATTAATATTTTTCTATAATGCTAAAAATAAGTACAAAAAAAATTCTTTAATATAGAATGGTGATGAGTGATTTCATCAAATTTTCTTGTACAGAATCATTGTCATATTCCGCTGTCGCGTTATTTTTCTAATGATCATCTATAACAGAATAGGTCATTTAAAGTTCATATGAAATGGAACTTCCATATTCGTCATATATGTACTAATATTCTGTTCTGAAAACAATCCAATTATTGTAATATTATATCGCCCTTTCTTATGGCTCGTAAAATTCTAACATTTAAGCAATCTCTCATTTCTCTATTTAATTTAAAAGAATCAGTTGCTGGTTTTGTTAAATCAAGCTGTGGAATCAAAGAAAAAAGTTGTAATTATAAGAGGCAGAAAGAATGCTTGCATTCATGAAATCTTAATTTATTTATCTAGTTCTAAGGGTTCATCCCAATCTCTTTGTATATATAGAGAATCCTCCTTTTCTCTTGTTAAGTCAATTACGATAAATTTTCTACCTTGCAAATTTTTTCAAGTATATCAACAGCATTATGCCATTTTTTTGAATAAGATTTTCGCGTATTTTTTTTTTACTTTTTTGACTTCGATCGCGATTTTAGAAGCGTAAAGCGATTTTCTACTAAGGCATTTCTAAGATAGATAGAAAGGCCTTGTTCTTGGCTACAAAATGGTATGTTTTTCATCCCGGTAACATCGATATTCGCGGAGTTATTCTAGTTTAAAGAAAACGTCCGTAAAAAATCGTGCAAGTTTTTCGTAAATTTTCACGTTTTTTCGACTTCACTCGCGATTTGCGAAACGTAGAGCGATTTTTACTAAGATATTTTATGATAAAAAGAAAAGCCTTGTTCTTTGGCTACAAAATGGTATATGTTTCATCCCGGTAGCATCAATATTCGTGAAGTTATTCTAATTTAAGAAAACGTCCGTGAAAAATAATGAAATTAGTTACACGACTTTTAAACGGACGTTTTTCTTTAAATTAGAATAACTCCGCAAATATAGATGCTACTGGGAGAAAGCATATACCATTTTATAGCCAAGAACAAGGTCTTTCTATCTTAGAAATACTTTAGTATAAAATCGCTCTACGCTTCTCAAATCGCGATCGAAGGCAAAAAAAGTAAAAAACACGCGAAAATCTTTGCAGGTATCGAAAATACTGCCTATAAAAATTTCCTGATGTAACTAGTTCGTCATATGTAATTTTTATTAATCAAAAAGCTTTGTAACATCCCTCAGTGAATTAATAAGTAATTTTTTCTTGTATTTTTTTTTTTTAGGTTTGGTACATAAATCTTTGAGAGAAAAATCATCAACCTTTGGCATTTATCAGGTTTCATTGTTCAAAATGTAATACTTTGCAATTATTCAATAACAATTTTGACGATGGTATCCGATCAAAACTAAATCATCATTCTTAATATCTTGTCCTATTTTTTTTTTTTCATTAAACATTCAATATATTTTATTCCCAAGCAAAAGGTTAACAATACTAGCAAATTGAAAGGTCATTGAGGGGTTGAATTTAAACTATTAGATATTTATATTCATTAAATACAAATAATTCACATCGATCAAGTTTTTTAGTTTTCATGTGCCCGGCACTGAGTTTCGCTCATCCTGTTTAGTAGAATTTTATAAAATGGTAAGTAATATAAATTATTATTATTTTTTACATAATAAATAGCCTTTTTTAATAAGAGAATTTTAACAAATGGATATAAATCAGCAGAATGTGGAACTTTATACCTCTAATAAAAGTAACTACTTTGATTTCAGGTTGCGACTTTAGGTTAGACGTATTAAAATTTCTACTTTCAGAAATAGTTGCAGCAAACTAAACTCATAATTTTGTGATATTAACATTTACTGTATTAACAAGTTTCTCCATTAAAAAATTTATATATGTAATTTATATATAATATTATGAAACTAGAAGCTAACATATAATTATATATATTGATTTTAAATAATATGAAGTATTAGTTATTATTTATCTACAATTTGATTGGACAAAACAATAGTCAATTCTAGGTGACAAAAGTGGAAAGAATATATTACAGAACCATTCATTATACATTTAAAAATTTGAAACAACTTTATATAGTAGAAAACAAAAAAAATCAATCAATCAATCAATATGTAATATGTTATAACAAACTGATATCAATAATAAAAATATAATTAAAATTGGTGCAAGAATAATGTTTCTGGACAATTCTAAAATTCAATAGGGAATATATAATGGAACTATTGGTATTATTACAGATTTGAACATGGAAATACAAACGGTTAGATGTGTTTTAGATATAGAAATCAAGAAACATGAAGTACCTGCAAGTCAAATCCAATATCCAATAATCAATGTCCATGCATTCACTTAATGTATCATTAAATTTAGATTCACAAATTTTTGAAAGAGGACAGGCACATGTAACATTTATTAGATATATTAATTGAGATAATGTTAAAATTAAATCATTTAATAGGATGCAATTGTAATCCATGATAAAAGAATATAAGAGATTAGAAACAAAAGCATCCTATTTCTAAACCACTATAAAACATTTACATTAAAATTTATCACAATTATAATCTTTCGTATGTAAAACTGACTCAAAAAGAATTCTCTTATAAATTTAATTTTAATAAATAATCTAACAGATACCTTTATCAAGTTAGTTTGGAGTTTTATGATTAAGATCAGTCACATTACATTATACACATGATTTTTCTTTTATGCATGTGCAAGTTATAACTTCAGCCAAGAAAATTTTACAAGTTCTACTGTATTTTTTATCACGTTATTTTTGAATAATTAAATATATTAAAGCTGAATAATAAACAATAATAAAAAGAAATAAAAGAAATTCTTAATATTGTTGCCTACCAACTATGAGAGTTTTCTACTAATATAATGCTTTATATAAATCAAAGTTTATTGTGAAGTGTATAAAGGAAAGAAAAGGAAAGAAAAGGAAAGAAAAAAGCAGGAACCAAGTCCATAAGAGTAAAACAAAAAAAAAAAAATAATAAAAAATAGAATAAGGTATCCAACCTATGAAGTAACAAATTTTGCACATTTCAATGCACATAATACAAGTATAAAAATAACTGAAAGAAAACGGAAGAAACGGAAGGTGGATAAAACATGTTGATGATGGAAAAAATAAAACTCATTTATATTATAGCAAAATAATCCTACACTATTAATTGAATTGTTTTAATTATGGAAATCTTGTTAATACAACAAAAAAAAAAGAATAATTGGAAAAAGGGACAACAAACCTTAAACTCATTGTCTTTAGAAAAATTTACTTACTAGCATATTTACGCGTCCACTCTCGAGCTGTGGCTTCATAACGAGTACGATCGGTCTTATAAACATGAGCAATTTCAGGTACAAGCGGATCATCTAAAATATAAAATATAAATAAGTTTATAGGAACAGCTTACTCGTTCAAATATAAGAAAAAGTACATGAAAGATACATGAAAGATACATGAAAAATACATGAAACGTATTTAAGTAAAGTCACAATAAAACAAACCTGGATTTGGATCAGTTAACATTGAGCAAATGGATAAAAGAACTGTATATATGATAAAAAAAAATCTTTATAAGAAAAAAAAAAAATTAATCGCTCATTGCAAAAATTTAAAATATAATTGTTTTATTTACCCTTCGAAATAGTAAGTGCTGGTGACCATTGATCCCTTAGAATATCCAGGCATATACTTCCATTACTGTTGATATTGGGATGGTAAATTCTTGTTGTAAAATTAACCTATCAATAATTTCAATAATTCAAAATTTCAGAATATTAATGTTAATATTAAATTATCAAAATTTTCGTTATGAATTATTTGAATTATTTTCTATTCAAAACAAAAAAAAATTATTTACTTTCGGAGGTTTAAAGGGATAATCTGTCGGAAAATGGATGGCAAGGAAAAATACACCACCAGCGTATGGAGAATCGGACTAAATGAACCATCATTTAAAGAAAACAAGAATATCATAAAATATCATAAAAATTTTCATGATTATAATAATTTTATTATTTTATTAATTTTATTAAAGGAATATAAGTTAAACTAATCAATAATACAATTTTATATATTCTAAACTTACTGGTCCCATAATTGTAGCCTGCCAATGAAAAAGATCATCACCAATAGGACCAGCACTGCAAGAAGAAGGTGGGTCACGCCCTAAGTCGTGCAATTCCTAAAAAGAAAGTTCAGTAATAAAGTAAAATAAATGTGTTAATATTAGAATACCCGCAGTCAGTATATATTTATGAAGTGCTTTGATGTTGGAACAAAACTTTTGACCAAAAGTCAAGATACTCTCTAAAGGCATCTGAATAATGATTTGTTATCTAACAATTCAGAAGTGTTGTTTTTTTTTTGTTTTAGGAAATATGGTTCGTTCTGATATGAAATCTGTAAACGATAGCTTTTTAACCACTGATCTGGATAACTTTCACGCCTTTGTTCATGGTATAGTAATAAAACGTTTGCAATCTTTAAGATTTGCAGTTAAAAACCAAAACGGCAGAAAAAGCCACCAAAGTCCGACTACCCCTTGGTCAAACATGTCTAAAATAAAACAAAAAGAACATATTTTATATATTCTGCAAAGAGACCTCTAACTTACTTTGTTGATTCTTTTCAGTGCCATTTCTAAAGAATAGTTTGTTTTAAAAAATAATCAGTGCAGAAAGATGAGCCGAGGCTTTGAAGTTAAAATTTTTTAAGTTTACCGCGGGGTGCAGAATATTGTGGAAGGACAGAGATTTTTGATTACCAAGGCAATCAAACTTGGGGATTTTGGGGGAGTGACCTATTTTTTTATATATAGTAATGCATAATAACCATAATAACCTCAAACTCGCGTATCACATTTAAAATCAAAAATTGGCAATTTTAATTCAATAAATTCAAATTTGTCTTTAATTACAAAAATTCTCAAATAAATATAAAATCAAGAAAAAAAATTTTTCTTTTCTTTTTTTTTTTTTTTTTTTTTTTTTTTTTTTAAAAAAAAAACAAATTTTTGCATTGTAAAGAAAAATGTATTCTTGTTTATTTGTCATTATAAAAATAATTACATTATAAATAAATTATTGACATAATTGATATAATAATAATAAATATCAATCAATAATCAAATATAAAAAATAAAATAAAATATATATAAAATATATATAAATAATAAAAAATAAAATTGCCAAAAATTATTATCTTTCACATAAGTACATTATATGCGCATTATATGTATATATATATATTCAGCAAACCTGATAATGATTCTTTCACTATTTCTTATTTATGTGGTGGTTGTAAATCTGGTAAATATGGATTATCATTGGAATGCCTAATCAAATTTTAAACAAAAAAAAAAGGAGAAAAAGAGAGACAAATTGTTTATCAGAATATAATATTAAAAATTACTACAAGTTCTGAATATATAAATCATGTTGATTTACAATTACTATAAAATCAAATCTTTCAAAAGTGTATATAACTATTATTATTCCTTTTGCATTTTTTTTTCATCTCTTTAAAAATATATAATATTAAATGATAAAGAAAAACTAATTCTCTAATTCTTGTTATTATGCAATTCAACATCCATTTGTACCAATTTAGTGTTTCGAGATTTTACTTTCTTTTGAGATTTCACTCAGAATATTCTAATAAAGTGACCCACGAAACCTTAAAAACATTTTATTTACGGCCTTTCATTGACTCAAATGCTTTAGCTCGTAATTGTTCTAATTGTTCTAATTCAACTGTCGATGTCTAAACATAAAAAAAGCCAAAAAAAATTTGATAACTGATTTTCTTTGATTATAACACTTGTTCACATGGATTTTACCTTTTTACTTTTCTTGTTATCCACATCATCTTCATCATCGTCATTCCACCTTGACTTGAAAATAGGTGCATCGGCTATTTTCTTTCTAGGCGGTGAACTTTGAGCAGAATCGCACCATTCTGCTGATTCTACGGTCCTTTTTTTGGCATCGTCCTCAGATACGTTAATTTCTGTACGAAGGTTTCCTTCCGGAGAGGAAGTAGGACTGAACTGTCCTGAAGATAATTTTGAAATAGGTTCTTCCTTGGAATAACGTCGTCGTTTACTTGTATCTTCTCTTTCTCTGCTCTTACTTCGGCTCTTGTGTCGTAATTTTCTTTCATCATATCTACGACCGTCTTTACTTTGACTCCTACTACGTCTATGACTTCTATGTCTTCGGCGTTCTCTACTACGATCCCTGGTAGAACGTTCGCGTTCTCTACTACGATCCCTAATAGGACGTTCGCGTTCTCTACTACGATCCCTAATAGGACGTTCGCGTTCTCTGCTACGATCCCTGGTAGGGCGTTCTCGTTCTCTACTACGATCACTGATAGGACGTTCTCGTTCTCTACTACGATCTCTGAGATCTCTGATAGGACGTTCTCTGCTTCTATGAGAACGTCGATATCTATTTTCATCACTTTTACTACGGCTTCGAGGGCGATGAGAATTTCGCCGATGTCTATCGTCATCTCTATTTCTACTAGAGTGACGGACTGATCTATTTTCACGATCCTATAAAAATCGGCTAGTAAGATCAAATTGATTGACGTGAAACAATAGCAATACAAAAAATATAATATTATAAACGAAGTATAATTTAAAATTGAATATTAACTTACTCGTCTTTCTCTTTCTTCTCTACGCTCCTTTTCTCTGGTCTCTTTTAATCTTGCTCTTTCAGCATCCTCCTTTTCGCGTCTTTTTCGAATTTCGGCCATAATTCTCTCGTCTTCTTCCTATATAAATAATCATATAATTCTTAGTCGATTATACATTTATAATTTGAAAAAAATATATCTATCTATTTATCTAACTAACTATCTATCTATCTACAATTTGTATTCTCTATTTTTCTGACCTTCTTCTTGCGAATTTCTTCCATTTTCTGTTCGAGAAATATAGTCGGAATACCACTTTCACTATCTTGAGCTGATAAAAGCAATTTCCACAATTCTGTTACAAAGGCAGGAGCATTCCTTTCCAAAAATCCGGTGAGGTTGATTTGCATCATTCTTGGATCAAGATCCTAATAATTTATAATTTTTATTACAATATATATATATATATTTGAATTTAATCTTTTATTTCAATTTTTAATTAAAATTATTAAAATGCATAAATCCTAAAATATTCAACAAACCGGTTCTTCCAATAAGCCAAATACATAATTGACAACAACTTCGTCTTCACCTCCTAATAAATCAACAATTTTTTGTGCGATCCAGGGTCTGATGACTGTCATGTTTACCTTTTTCAGATCAACCTAAATAAACATAGAACGCATAAGGTAAAAAATAGAGATTGATGGGATTTGAGCTGAGTTGTAAAGGCAATAACTAAGACGAATTTGGTACACATTCATCCATTACCACGTTCCCTAACAAAGAAATGGCGAAGAGAAATTGTCCAAGACATGTGAAATCGACCAAGAAAAGAATAAAATTTGCGGATCATAGCAAATTTTAATCGTAAATAATAAAAAAATCTATGTTGTCTAAATTTGGCGATTGATTTGAATAACGGCCAGAAATAGATACGGGGAACCATTTGATTCCAACTAAGAACAGCCTTCGCCTCTTAAATGATTTCAAGGTAGCATAGAATCACAAAAAGTAAACTAAATTATATATATATTTTTTGTTTTTTTTGGATATGATCATTAGCATATTTCTATGAATAAAATAAGCCCTATGAACATAAAAACTCAAAGAAATTTGTTCACACGTCTTCGGGCGTTGAAAGTGAAAGTACCAACCAACGACCAGAATAACAAAAGGCCATATATATCATATCCTGAACTTTTCAAGAAATGTATATAAAAAAGAAACAATGATTTACCTTTCTGTTAAATTCTATAGGAAAATTCATGCTTTTTAGCAGTTTTTTTTGTTTATCCGAAAACCGACTGTCTTGCTCTAAACTAGTACCCTGCCAAAGATTAAAATAATTACAAATCGTAATAAAAAATAGATCAATTTGCGAGTCAACGACATCTTCCTATAGATCGTTAACAACTATTACCTTGAAGAAGCTTCCCTCGCCCATCGTATTTCAATAATAATAATGATATCAACAAATATATTTTTTTTCGGTAAAAGAAAGTCGACAACACTTGATATACTTTTTCGAATAATCACGGGCAATATAGACTCGAATTTGATTGGTTCATAATGTGGCGCAGTTGATCTCTGAAGCTTATTGGCTATCATATGATATTTTTTATTAAAATTAAAAACAATAATCATTGTCTATACTGGAATCAATGGATTTTAAAGATAGATGCCGACTATCTTATATTGAATTGTAGCCAGAAACAATATCTATAATTTTAATTAGTGCGTTTTTCATAGTATTTATTGAAAATTTAGGCTTTACTTAGACGTGACTGAAATTTATTAAAAATTTTAAAAAAATAAAAAAAAATATGAAAATAATTATCAATCATTTCTACATATAAAAGTTTTTTATTTACTAAAATAATAATAAAATTAATACTAAGTAACATTATAGCTAAGAATATGTAGCATCATTTCTGAAGTATTTAGAAATATTTAATTAAAATTGATTAAATAATGAATGATTAAATTCCAGAGAATAATTTTTAAATGTCTGGTGTTTAACCATTGATATTAAATTTAATTTGCAAGAATAAATTCTAAAAACTTCATTAAAGATGTTCCATGTTCTTGGCTATAAGAATTATTGGTACTTCATTTGGTGTTTTATTAATAAATTACAAACTTTTATATGTAACAACCTTTTGATAAATTATTTTTGGATTTTTTAAAAAAATATCAATAAAATGATTGACAGTGATATTAATTAAAAAAATCTGAAATAACTTTCAAAAGTTGCTACATATAAAAGTTCATAATATATTAAGAAAATAGCAAATGTGTTACTAATTAATCTTATAGCTAAGAATTTGGAGTATCGTTTATGAAGTTTTTAGAATTTTTTCTTACGAATTAAATTTAATATCAATGACTAAACATCGGACGTTTAAAAATTATTCTCTGGAATTTAATCACTCATTATTTACTCACTTTTTATTAAAAAAAATCTGAATTCTTTACACGAGATGCAAAATATTCTTAGCTTTAATATTACTTAGTATTATGTTTATTAATATTTTAGTAAATAAAAAATTTTATATGTAGCAACCTTTAATAATTATTTTAAACTTTTTAATTCAATTTGATAGATTAATTTATTTATTAATATTTTGTGAAATAACCTTTATTTTCAATAACAGCAGCAATACGATTTGGCATACTATTAATAAGATTATTATATTTATCTTTTTCAAGTTTATCCCATTCTTCCTGTAAAATTTGCCATAAATCATCGGTAATAATTTATGTGACCTGATTTTTCTATCTAATTCATTTCTATGGAATTTAAATCTAGACTTTGTGTAGGCCATGGAAAACTTCTAATATTGTTATTTTCCTTTCATTTTTTTGCTATTTTTGTAGCATGAATTGGGACATTGTTTTCTTGAAAAATATAATTATCACTATTTTCTAAATTATTTATAAATGAAATTAAATTTTTTTCTAACATTTCTATATAAATTTTTGCTGTTATTTTACTTTCTAATCTAACTAATAGTTCAAGCTTATTTTTTGTAAAACAACCTCAAGTTATTATACTTTCTTGTCCCAATTTAAAAGTTGGAATAAAATATTTTAGATCATATTTTTCTTGAGAATTTTTTCAAATATGTTTTCTTCTATCCCCTTCAAATATCTCAAATCTTGATTCATCACTTTACATAATATTATCCCATTTCATTTATTCAATTTTTTTATTTTGGTCTAATTTAACTTTTTTATTTTATATGCAGCATTAACAAAAGGTTTTTTTGATTTCAATTCTTTCATAAATATTATTTTTATTAAGGTATTTTCTAAGAGTAACTGAATTTACATTTGTTGAGGTAGATGAAATAAAATTTTCACATAGTTTTTTAATAGTAGTTCTACAATTTCTATTTAAAACTTGAATTAATTACATATTATCTCTTTTAGTTATAATAGATGATTGATTACTTAGAGAAGGTATTTTCTCTAATCCATCATTTTTATAAACTTTGATAATATTCTGTACTGTACTTTTTGAATAATCCAATATCTCACTTATTTTTTTTACAGAAAAATTAAATTTCAATATACCTATTATTTTATCATGAGAAAGTTCTTTGCGTTAAGTAGTCATTTTTATAAATTATTTTTTTAAAAAATAAAAGTGAGATAGTAAATTTAAATTAAAAATTAATAAATTATTAAAAGTTAAATAATCATAAGTTATATTATTTGTAAGTAATAATATAATTTTATTATTATATAATATAATTTTTTACAATGTATATAATATTCTGTATAATGCTATAATTTCATTTTAACTATATATTTTTAATTTTCATTTAAAGCCATATAATAGAATATTAATTGCATATTTTTATTTAAAGTAATGCAGTGTCATGTTAATTGTATATTTTATTATAATTGGTTAGAATAAAAAAGTTTAAACAATAAAAATTTTTATTTACTAAAATATTAATGAATATAATACTAAGTAATATTAAAACTAAGAATATTTTACATCTTGTATAAAAAATTTAGATTTTTTTAATAAAAAGTAAATGAATAATGGGTAATTAAATTTTAAAAAATAATTTTTTAAATATTTGATGTTTAGTCATTAATATTAAATTTAATTTGAAATAAAAAATTTTCAAAAATTTTATAAACAATGTTTTATATTTTTAGTTATTAAATTAATTAGTAACACATTAAACTTTTATATGTAGCAAATTTTAATAATCATTTTCAGATTTTTTAATTAATATTATTGTTGATCATTTTATCATTAATATTTTTTTTAAAATCTAAAAATAATTATCAAAAGTTACTATATATAAAAGTTTATAATATATTAAAAAAACAGCAAATGTGTTACTAATTAATCTTATAGTTAAAAATATGAAACATTATTTATAAAGTTTTTAAAATTTTTTATTTCAAATTAAATTTAATATTAATAACTAAACATCAGATATTTAAAAATTATTTTTTAAAATTTAATTACTCATTATTCATTAAAAAGATCTAAATTCTTTACACAAGATACAAAATATTTTTAACTTTAATATTACTTAGTATTATATTTGTCAATATTTAATAAATAAAAAACTTTTATATATAAAAATGATTAATAATTATTTTTATATTTTTTTTTTATTTTTTTAAAAATTTTTAATAAATTTTAGTTATTTTTATTTACATTTAAGTAAAGTCTAAATTTTCAATAAATATCATAAAAATGTTATTAATTAAAATTATAGATATTGTTTCTGGTTACAATTCCATATAAGATAGTTAACATTTATCTTTAAAATTAATTGATTCTAATATGAACAACGATTAAAAATTAAATTTATCATTTTTTGTTAATTTTATTTGAAGTGTAATTTTTCTACATGTGGATATTTAATTTTAACAAAAAATATATTATATGATAATCCTGATTTAGGAAAATCTAATAAAAAAGATTATACAATTTAGATCACTCATTGTGACACAATTTACATTTTAAATTTAATAATTTTTTTAAAATTTTCAACTGTATAGTGACTTTTAACACTGGTTGAAAATTGATAAATCATATATACATTAGGTCTCCGATATGTACATGGTACGTTCTTAATATTAGGCATATATCGGGTATCCAATAAGTATAGAAAATATTTTTTTACACTTATTGGATACTCAATATATATATAAATATTTTCTATACCTATCGAATACCTGATATACGCCCGATATTAGGGATATACCATACACATATCAGGTATCCGATGTGTGTATAATTTATTAATTTTTAACCAGTATAACCACCCATTGTATATATTATACAATATATAGAATTGAATTAATATTTTAGTAGTAATAGAAAGGAGTAGAAGTAGAAAAAAAAATTTTTGTATATTTTTATTCAGATTTATTTATTTATTTTTTTTTTTGAAATAAATTAAAAAAATATAAATAAAAATTTCAACAAAAAATTTAAATAAATTAATATATTTTTAAAATTTTCTAATTAACTTATAATAAATTTTATATTAATAAATAGTTTAGAATAATAATTATTTAACAAATATAATTTTATTATTATAGAATTTGTACTTTTCAAAATAAATTAACTTTTTAAAAAAATTTTTAAGTGTTATAATCTTTTTATAAGTTACTATACTTTTGTTATAAGTTTAAGATAATTATATTATATCTATATATATAATTTTAAGATATAATTTACTTTGGTACAACATGTTAGATATAATTATATTAAATTTAAAAATAATAATTGGTTTGTATTAATCTAATAAATAATAAGTAAAGTATATTTTTTTAAGTAAAGATTACTTATTTGTTATATGATTTTGAATGTTAAATCAATTGTAGTTGAAGATATGAATTATATTTAATATTGAATTTTTGTTAATTAACATAATCTTTAAATATTTGTAGTTGTAGAAGTTGTAGTTTAAAGGTAGTTTTATATTAACTAAATATCATTACCATTGCTTATCTTAACTACACATTGTCAAATATTTGAAAGTTTTTTTTTGTGTATAATTCTGTATTCAAATTTTATTAGATTTGATTTTTTTTGAATTAAAATAAGATTTTTTTAAATTTTTTTTTAGATTTATCTTATGATATAGTATTATTATTCATTTTCATTTTCTAAATTATTATCATTTTCATCTTCACCTTTTAAATCATCATCATTTCATCTCTACTTTTAAATTATCATCATTTTTATTTCTATTTTCTAAGTTATCATTATCTCATTATCTAAATTATCATTATCTAAACTAATTCAAAGTTATTTTCTTTATACTGATTCCCATTTTTACATAAATTAAAATGTACAGCCCCCATCATCTAGTCCTAGCAAGTTTTATTCCTTATTTTTTAAATTGCATTTATTCTTTCTATATTAGGTTAATCTCATAAATTTAATCGTAATTTGATAGCTTTGGTTTAGAACTTTCAAATTACGATTAGAAAATCAATTTATAATTATTATTATATATACATATGGACCCTTTTCAAACACATATAATTTTGTAGCCAAGAACGAGGCTTTCTTTCTATCTTAGAAATTCCTTAGTAGAAAATCGCTCTACGCTTCGCAAATCGCGAGCGAAGTCAATAAAAAATGAAAATTTCCGGAGATTTTCACTTTTTTTTTTACGCTTTTTTTTCGAATTCGCTCGCGATTTGCGAAGTGTAAAGTGATTTTCTACTAAGGTATTTATAAGGTAGAAAGAAAGGCCTTGTTCTTGGCTACAGAATAATACGTGTTTCGTTCCGATAGTATCGATATTCGCGGAGCTATTCTAGTTAAAAAAAAAAAATCTGTGAAAAAATCGTGCAAAATTTTCTCACGGACTTTTTTTTCTTAAACTAGAGTAACTCCACGAATATTGATGCTATCTTATATTTTAGAAACACTTTAGTAGAAAATCGCTCTACGCTTCGCAAATCGCGAGAGAAGTTGAAAAAAAGTAAAAAGAAAGTGAAAATATCCAGAAATTTTTGCGTTTTTTACATTTTTTTTTGACTTCGTTCGCGATTTTCGAATCGATAAGCTATTTTCTACTAAGGTATTTCTAAGATAGAAAGAAAGGTCTTGTTCTTTGCTACAAAATGATATATGTTTGATCCCGGTAGAATCGATATTTGTGGAGTTATTCTAGTTTAAAGAAAAACGTCACGTAAAAATCATCTTTTCTTTAAGTTACGATGTTGGTCAGAGTATTGTTCAAGCACATGCATCTATGCAAGTCAATACTAAAAAACGTAAATTTGATGAAGTCGGTTTGGATGAAAACGAAATGATTTGTATCGTCTCAACTGGTACGTTCGTAAAATAAAAATTTTACAAAAAAGTATACGGATTACTAATTCTCTTTTGATATTTTAATTTTAGGTGTTTGATTGGTTAATAACAAAAGTTCGAAATGGAAATGAACTCTTTACGTATTCACCTAGGCCCTTATCATTACCTATTAGCAATGAATTATTAACCCCTGGTGACTTAATTAAACTGGTTAAAAAATTGGTTAATGGGCTTTTGATCAGCAAATTGATTCAAACAAATGAATAAATCAGTGTAGAATAAATATGCAATTTTATAAATATAGAAATTTTGTTTTGATGTTTGATTGTAATAAAATTGAGGCAAGACCTTGCCGGAACAAAAAAAAAAAAAATAAAAAATAAAAAATAGGGTTGAAAATTTAAATTAAATTTATTTTATATGAAATTATGATATACAATCAAAAATAAATGTGATGAATGATGATTTTTTTCAAAACAGTTATTTACATTAAAATGAAAATTAATAGAATAATCAGTCGTAATACTTTTTTAAGCACAAAATATTAAATAATCATTAATATAGATTTCACTAACAACTTTCCTGCTTCATCAGAAGTGACACGACATTCCTTCCAAATATCAACTAACTCTTTGCGAGTAGTTGGATTTGATTTGTTTGTGGATTCGGAAATGGAAGAATCTATATTAGGGGCTTTCTCAATCAATGCTTGCTTCATAAAGTCCCTGAATGAATTGATTAAACTTTTATCTACTTCCGAGGGTGCTCTGCTAAATAGTGGATATCTTGCCATATTTACATAGACATTCCAAGAACCATTGTCTATCGTCACTTTATTTGCAAATAATGCGAGAATTGCATCTCCAACGTAATTAGCTGCATTTAAAGGACCTATCAGGCAAGTGATGTGTTCGGCTACATGTGATTTTCCATAATTTACGGTAAGTAATTTACTCGCACATATAGCATAACAATGGTTTTCACCAGGATCAATGATTAATGGGAAGAACAAAGAATTCTTAGATTGAAAGACTTTCGTTTGGTTTGAATGAAATATTGCGGAAAGAGCAGTTGTTGTCTCCGGACAACCATTAATACTAGTAAATCGTAATTTTTTTTGATCCTCCGAGTATACTGTGTCACAATTGATTAATGATTCTAAATCGGTTGGAATGGACCCATTATCAGTCCATATACCATACTTTACACTTCTAAACTTTTGAGCCAAATAAACCGCATCTGGTGGAGCTGTTTTTTTTCTACATCGAGAATGCGTCCATAAAGGGATTGCAGGTTTCACAAATTCAATATAACAATATTCATAAAAACTCATCAAATCTGATGGATGGGTATCAGGATGCACTATGTTTTGTATCGCTCCAATTTCCGTTTCGAGTGTATCGACAAGCACTTTCTTTGGTGGGAGAAGTTGTGCTCCGAATTCAATTGTGTGTTGTCGATTGAATTTTTTGGGGCAGTACCTGAAAACACGACTATTACTATTTGAAATTACACGAAATAAATTTTGATGAAATGCAGCTATCAATAAAATTGTAATTAGAGGAATATTAGGTTCTCGTTTCAAATTAACTGGTCTACTTGTAATTCCGTGATTACGATCAAAAATGTTTGTCCAAGGATTAATTTCTGAAATTTTTGAATGAAAGGATTCAGCAACATTTGTTTGAGAAGTTGGGGTTTTTAAAAAACGATTATACGTTTCATCTATTGTATCATTATCTGATTGATCATCTGGATTGTCATATACTGATAAATCAAGAAAATAAATTGCCTGATCAATATATTGATCATCATCAAGATCAAAATCCTCGTATTCTGTTCTAACAATAGGATTATTTATACGATTCCTACGAATTTTATCCCTTTCTTCTAGTGTTGGAGGTGCACATATATTTTGGTAAGCCAAAGACTCGCGAAGAGAAATTACCATATCTTGTATTTCACGAATCCAATATAAACTGATAAATTGTTGTTGACACCAAGCCTGTTCACTTTTGTGATTAAAAGAATTGTCTTTTTGCGTAGTTTCCTCCCAATATAAATAAGCTCTTAGATGCGATATTAAATCAGATCCCCCTTGTAATGGAAAATTATCAGGCAGATTTTTGTGAAATCTTTTCATAGCAGCACTAATCCATATTTCCATATTCGGTGGTTGCACTATCACACCTCGATTTTGCAAAATTGCTGAGATCAAAAAAAAAAAAAAAGATAATATTAGTTAAAAATAAAAATTTTTAAATTATGTATAAAAAGAATTTTACCTGCTATTATTAAAGTATCGTATAAAGCTCCAAATAAAGCGCCATACACGACTAATAATCCCGAATGCAAATCTAGTGGAAGTTGTGCTAAAACAGTCCCAAGACGAGTAACTTCATATTCATAAGAAACCTTATCACCGTGAATCCAATCATCATTTTCTTCAAAATGTTCATGAGTTTTTATGACCGCGCCAGTTGATTCTAAATCTTCCAAAGCATAATCAACAGCCATGTCTTCAGGAGGGTCTATGCAATGAGACAAAAGTTCACGAGGATCTCCAAAATTTGCATAGATGCATCGCAATAATAATGAACTTAAAGGAGTTCTTCTTATCTCAGGTGTTCTTTCCTTGCACAAGTTATCATAAAATTTTTTAGGTACGAACCTGTAAACCTAATAAACAAAAAAAAACAGTTCATTTGTGAAACTATTTGTAAATTAAAATGTTTTAACTAGATGCTTTACCACACCAGGCCTTAATCTTCCGGCTCTTCCTCTTCGTTGTTCGGCACAGTCTTGACTGATCCATTGTTCATTAAGACTATAACACCGTGATTCTTTTTCATAAAAAATGTCCTTTCTTAAACAAGAATCAAAAATAATTTTTACATCTGGTACAGTAATTGAACTTTCGGCAACATTTGTTGCTAAGATAATCTGTATTCAACAAAAACTTTAGACCTTTTTAACACCAAGTGAATAAAAGTTGAACAAGTTAAAATTAGCATGTACAAACTTTTCGATATCCCTTTTTTGGTCGTATCATAACCAAACATTGTTCATCAATTGTGATAGTGGAATGAAGTTTAATAACTGAGATATTAGGGCAAGATTTCTTTTTTTCAATTCTAAAATTATTATTTAAGGTAACACATGACATAATTTAAATTTAGAAATTCCTTACATATTAAATTTTTGAAACAGAACTTACCTATGAAGGTGATTAAGAAACATCAGTTGATCTTCCTAAGTTATTCATTTTATTAAAATACTTGCAAAAAATTCATAATAATAATAATATAAAATTAAAATGATTCAAAAAACTAAAATCTTACCATTTCTGCAATTATGGAAATTCCCGGGAGAAAAATCAAAAAAGCATCATCAGCTGGTGAATTTATGTGACAATCATAAATCCAATTTATGAACAATTCTCGACGATCTTGCATCATAGAAGGTTTAAGAGGATCACTTAAAACCTTGTATCTAACTGTTTCAGGAACTTCGAGTGCATCACAGACATCTTCCAGGTAAAATGCATCAACTGGAAATTTTTTGGTTGGTATATCTATCCAAGGAATTTCGGTGAAAATCCCATCTTTTTCGGTTTCAAATTCACGAAAGTAATTCGCAAATTTCTTGACATTCATTGTAGCCTAATATTTATAAAATAATAAATACATATAATTAATAAGTCATTCATAATATTATAATTTAAAGTAAGGATCTATTTATTGATTTATTAACTCACCGACATAACAATTAACTTTAAATATGAATTTTGTCTCATAATAGTACAAAGATGTGCCATCATCAAGTCATCGTCAACATTACGTTCGTGTATCTTAAAATATTCAAATAGGTTAATATTACTTAAGTAATTTATAATATCAAATTTAAAAAATATTACAAGTTACCTCATCCATGATCACATGAGTATAAGATCTTAAATATCGATCCATCTTAAGCATTTCCAATAAGATTCCCGTAGTAACGTATCGTAATCTTGTTGCTATCGAATAACCTCCTTTACCACCAATATGAAATCCAATTTGTCCATGAAGTGGGGTATCACGTTCAGAAGCCACACGATGTGCGAGAGAGGTTGCAGCGATACGGCGCTATAAATAATATATAGAAATCATCACTTTAGTTTTTACTTGATTTAAAATAGATTCAATGTGTTCATAATAGATCTACCGGTTGTGTGCAAATTATGTTAACAGGTTCTCCCTTTTGTAGACAATCATCAAGTATGTATTGTGGAACTTGCGTAGACTATTAAATATATACATATACATATATATTAAATGAACATTGATGATAAGTAGAATAAATGAAAAAAGAAAAAAAAAACACACACAGACACAAAGAAATCATAATAATATAATAATACCTTCCCACATCCCGTACTACCACTAAGCACAACAACCCTATTTTCACGAATAATATTAATTATATCATCTTTTCGTTTTTCAATTGGAAGTTGCGTTCGTTTAATATCAGGAATCCATGCAGATCCATCGTTAATGTAAGAATTGGGAGGTGCAAATGTTCTTGATGAAGCTTTAAACTTTTCATGTTTTAACATATGAACTGAAATCCTTTGGGCGGAATTTATCGGACATTTTGGACCCGGAGACGTAATATCCATGTACGATTCTTCAGAGATAACATTCCCAGCGTTAAACGTGACGGGAAACCCATTAGAAGACGAATTATTGATTTTTTTTGAGTCATTGGTCGATTCATTTTTAAGTAACGCAATCCTTTCCTTTTCACGTTGAAGTTTTGCAAGGTCGAATACTATATCTTCATTTGAAGAATCATCATCAAAACTACTGTCATTACTTGAATAATCTCCTGAATCAGAAGAAAAAAGGTCTCCACTTTCTTGTGTAGAAAATTTATTATTAGAAGAGCTTACAAATTCTATAGTCTCGTCTTGTAAATTAGAACCATTTACAAATTCTATAGTCTCGTCAAGTATATTGGGGCCATGTACGAACTCTATATCTTGCGTGTCTTGTTTGTTTTTTGGATAAGAATTATCTACAAAGGTTACGTTTTCGTTTTGAGCACGATAATCATTGTCGAATTCCGAAACCGGAGAATTTTCTTTTTCGCTTTCATATAAATCGTCTTCATCAAGTATAATTTCTATACTTGACTCTGTAAAGTCACTAGAACTAGAAGCTTGTTCTTCGGAAACTGAAATTCGAGAGCCAAAATACCATTCTGAGTCACGTTCGGCGGCCATTTTTGATGAATAAGAATACAAAAACCAACATTTATAGCTTAAATCACATGACTTTGTTAACCCTTTTGATAATCTCGTTACACAAAGTTTATGTGATATACGTGACATCAAATGACATCATTTGTTTCTTGAGATCTATTATAATTTTGTATTTATTACAATCAATTTCTCTATTAATAGGCATATTAGAGAAAAGGAATATGTTTTAGAGAAATTGATTGTAAGAGAAATAGAAAGTTGAGGTCTCACCGATCTATTTCTCTTACAATCAATTTCTCTAAAACATATTCCTTTTCTCTAATATGCCTATTAATAAATCTTTGTTATTCATTGACGTATCAGTTTTAGTGTCATCTGACGATTTTAGCCAATCACATCTATGTCGATCACTTGAGATCTCATTTTTTCATATGTATAAATATATAAAAATTACTCTTTTATTAACAAAAAAAAAGTTAGAAATAACAATCTAGAGCATTAAATTCATTTCCTTCTTCTACAATATCAGCCACCATCATACTAGAATTGACAGTTTCTAAAGCTTCTTTGTATAAATGTTCAACGTCTATAGTAGATTTAAGTCGATCAAAATCAACTAAACAAATTTTTTGATAAAATTCCAAATGACTTTTCATTAATGAAGGTTTTTTTTCAGGAATAATATTATGTTTTGATTTTAGTAATGAAAATAATTCTTGAATGGAATCATTATTCCCGAAATATAATTTTAAACGGTCGAGAATATCAATAATTTCACGTCGAACCAATCGACTAAAATCATCCACCTAAAACAAACCAAATTATTAAAATAAATAAATTAATAAATAATAAAATTTAATAAATTAAAAAAAATAAAAATATTATGTAACTTACAGCAGCTAGAAGTAATTTATCACCGTTAAGCATATAAAACCAAGATGAATTTCTCTCTAATAATAAAATTTCACTAAAAATTTGGTTTCCGGATTTAATTCTATCTTGTTCACAATGAAACCATACAACTTCAAGAAATTGACAACCAGCGATTCTAACATAAAAATCTGGATCATCCATAATTTTATCCATGACGAGAGGACTAACAAAATTCATAATAACATTTAATATTATTTAAATATTCAGATTTATCAATAAATAAAAAATAAATTAAAATGACATACTTCATAATTTCCTTGTTATGATCAGCTAATAATAAAGAACCGCATTCACGTTCAGAAATAAGACAAATCATTAATTCCATTACAGCTCGTCGAACAAAAGCTTCGGTATCTTTTATCATAAAAGGAAGTTGAGAAGATATTTTCTCTTGTAAATTCTGGGACATGATATATTGCCAACCATCGGAACGACGTATTATCAACTATAATATAAATTATTGTGAATTTATTGTGAATTAATATTATTGAAGTATTCTTTTACTTAAATAAAAAAAAAATAAAAAAAATAGAGACATATACTTGAATTGTTGTCAAAGAAGATGCCCGAACATATGCCACATTATCAGTTATTTTTGACATTACTGTTAAAGGTAAATTAAATTTTAGAGCGAATTTAACACCAAAAGTATTCTGAAATTAAAATGTACATTATATATTTATTAAATATGTTAGAATTATATAAATAAATTCAAAGATAATAAATAAAATTCAAAAATAATAAATAAATTTCAAAAGTAATAAATAAATTCAGAGGTGATAAATTAAATTAAAATAAAATATAAAAAAATAAAAAAAAAATACCAAACTTTTTCAAATAATCTACCAATAAATTCAAGAATAGAATCACGTATTTCCCAGCGATAATCACAACTTTTAAATATAATTGCATCAGCCCAAATTTCTCCATATTCGGAATCAAGAATATATTGACCTATAATATTGTTATTTAATAAAACTTCCATTGTTTCGAGAAGTAAAATTATACCTCGACATTCAATTTTCGAATCTGTTATTAAATCTCGAATCATTTTTAATGTCTATAAGAATATAATAAGAAATATAATAAGTAATATAATAAGAAATATAATAAGAAATATAATAAGAAATGTAATAGAAAATGTAATAAGAAATGTAACAAGAAATAAGATAAGATAAGGATAATTAAAATAATATAATTACCTTATTGATATTATCTGGGTCAGTAATTTGATTATTTATAATTTTACTAAATAATATAATTGGTATTACACTAAGTCCTGCTTTTAATATACGTTGATCAGAGTTATAATTTGGTATAAATAATATATCCAGTATTATATTAATTATATCGATAGTTGTATTCATCTAAATAAATTTTAGGAATTAATATGTGAAATATATAAAAGTGAATGCTTTGAAATCATGAAATTAAAAACTTACAACTAAAGAATTGTACTTGTGATAAATTGTACTAATTGCATGTAATATGCTGAGAATTATGGATTTTCTATTGGCAATATTTTTTCTTATATTTAAGAATAGTGTTCTTAACTTTTAAAAATATTATTATTATTTATGTTAATAATGTAAAATAATATTATTTTAATATTTAAAAAGAAATAAAATTTCTTACCTTTTCATATGTTCCATTAAAAATCAATAGTTGTATATCGGGATTTATTACATGTTTAAATAGGGTTTCTTTTGATTCTCGAATCTTGGAAAATTCCAATAAAATTATTAATACATCCATTAATCTTGAGGCATAAATTTCTTTATTACTAACTTCTACTCGATCAACTAATATAATTAAGGATTCAATGACATTAACCGCCACAGTAATCATCTCAACATTTTTATCAGTATTAAATAATGAGAAAACAATTTCATGTACGATAAATTCGAATGCTTGCTTAGAGAAAAAAATATATAAATTTATATAAAAATTAATAACCATCTATATAATAAAATATAAATAAATAAATCAAATCAAATCAAATCAAATCAATCAAATCAAATAATAAATTAATAAATAATAATAATAATAATAATAATAATAATAATAATAATAATAAAAGTATTAATGAAATAAAATAAATTCTTACTTTCGTCAATCGGATCAATTGAATGTAAAGATGTTTTCAATAGAGATATAGGTTCTGGTGACATAAAAATATCACATAAAATATCAATTGTTCGAGATCTAATGACTTTATCATGATCAATGAGTAATAAATCCAAACGATTTAACTAAAATAAAACAAAAAAAAAAAATAAAAAAAAAAAACTCATAAATTTTTAACACTCATATCAAACCCACACCACGTAATAAATCATTTATTACTCACAAGTTGTCCACGTTTAATAAATTCGTATGAATTTTCTGTTTTAGAATTTATTAGAATCCAAATGAGTTGTAAAGTTGCTAAACGTTCACCAATATCTTCACTTGGATTAAATAATAATCTTTTTATTATATCGAAAATATCTAGAGTTGAAATCAAATGATTCAAGAGTTCATTTTGTATCACTGTTTCATCATTGAGATTTGTGGATATCGTGGAATTATTAATTATTGACAAAAGAAGTTTCGAGGCGGTAGTTGTAACCTTTTTTATATAAAAGAAAATGAGAATCATCAAATGTTTTCATATAAAGTTTGAAGATAATTAACTTTTTTACATACGTAAGTGTTGGAGTCAAGAAAACACGCTGAAACAATTTGTGAACTTTTGTTTGTATGAAAGAACCTTTAAATTAAATCCCAATCAAAATTTTTTGAAATAAATAAAAAAATATGATAAGTGAGTTAAGTATATTAATGATATTAATGAAGTATTATTATTATTATTATTATTATTTTTTAGAATAATCAAACATGATATAATGAATGATTTAAATGATTTTACCATTTTGCACCATTTTCATATGAAACTATTTGTTCCAATGCTTCGTAGCATGAATAACGTAATGATCCTTCTTCTGCAAACGCATTTTCCGAGATAAAATCGAGTACATCGTGATAACTTTCAATAATTTTATTAAACAACAACGCGTTTTTTTTATCATCATTTTCTAAAAGTTTGGCTAAAAAGCGTATTGATAACGCAATTATTCTATAATCTGGTTCGATTTCGTATTCATTTTCTTCATCACTTGTTCCATTCCTTTCAATTCCTTCCATTTCATGTTCAAGTTCATTTCCTTCATTCTCGGGTTTATTATCTTGCTTAATGCAAGCCTAGCCCAAACAAACAAACAAACGAATAACAAGAGAAAGAGAAAGAGAAAGAGAGAGCACGAATATATATTGATTAATTGTGAGTACATATATTAAACTTGAAAAAATGAGAACAACAAGCTCGTTTTACACACACGTATGACGTCCAGCACATTCCATTGCATGAAGGTAGCCACCATATCAGGACCTTGAGAGGCATATTCGGATAAATAAGAAAGAACTTTTTCGTGAATAGTATCGTCCACAATATCCCTTGACATTTGAGGTAAAGAGTTCACGGTATTTTGTAGATTCTCCATAATAATAATATGCTTTAAAGTTCTACTCGTTTTTTTTTTTACTCAAAAAATATAATATATAAAATTAAATTATAATCTTATCATTTTATCAGATCATCATAAATTATATAAATTGTATAAATTACGAATCTTAGATCCTTCTCTCTTTTTTTTTAAAAATTTTTTTTTTTGTAAGATAATTAAAAAGAAATTAATCAAGTAATAACTTAAAAATTATTTCAAAATGGGTCGTATGCACGCTCCTGGTAAAGGTATTGCAAGCTCTGCCTTGCCATATCGTCGTACTCCTCCTTCATGGTTAAAAACTACACCGGAAGATGTTTGCGAACAAATTTGTAAGTACGCAAAAAAAGGCATGAGTCCATCACAAATTGGTGTATATCTTAGAGATGCACACGGAATTGCACAAGTAAAGAATGTTACGGGAAATAAAATTTTGCGAATTTTAAAATCTAATGGTAAAGTATTCCGAATTTTTTTTTTTTTTTTTTTAATAATTAATTAATTATTAATTATAATTATTAATTAATTTGAATTTTGAATTTAATTTTGATTTAAAGGTTTGGCACCCGAGATTCCCGAAGATTTATATCATTTAATTAAGAAAGCTGTTGCTGTTCGTAAACATTTGGAGCGTAATCGTAAAGACAAAGACTCCAAATTTCGCTTAATTTTAATTGAATCTAGAATTCATCGTCTCTCCAGATATTACAAGACTTCAGGTCAATTGGCTCCAAATTGGAAATAGTACGTTTTTGCAGCTTAATCTTTAAAATTATTTATTTTTATTATTTTTATTATTTTTATTATTATTATAATTATTTATTATTATTATTATTATTTTTATTATTATTATTTGTTATTTATTATTAACAATTCATTTATTAATTTTCTATTTTAAAGTGAATCTTCAACTGCCAGCGCCATGGTTGCATAAAATAATAATGATTCTTATATTTATGATAACATTGCTTCAGAATACCTTTCAGAAAAGAAAAAAGATTACCAATAAAAATAGTAATTATTTGGAATAATTATTTATATAATTAAAAGAAAAACTAAAAAACTCGAGGATTAATTCCTTTTTTTTTTTGTGTGTGATTGTGTTTTGTCCCCTGATATTAAATTCTTGGATAATAATTTATCACATTATTATGGAAGACAAAATGTAGGTTTTTCTTTTCTTTCTTTTTTTTTTTTTTGTGAGGATTAAGAGATATGATGACTATGAGAAAAATCTGAAATTTTCTTTATGATTTTTATTATTATAATTGTATTCACACTGTCTGATCTTTTTCCGAACAAATTAAAAAATTAAATTAAAAAAGAAACCTAAATAATTGTCTTCCCGAACATTGAAATCATTTATGTAAATCAAACGTTAAAAAATTGTAAATCATGTAAATCATTGTATGTAAATCCTAATATTATTATTATTATTAAAAAAAAAAAAAAAAAAATACCGAATAATAAAAATGTCATTTGGACGACCGCCTTCAGTCAAAACTTTCACTACGACGCCTCCAGAGCGAGGGAGTTTTCCTTTAGATCATGAGGGTATATACAAAGCCATTTAGATATTATATTAATTGTATTAATTGTGTCAAATTGTATTAATTGTATCAAATTATATATTTAAATATATTAATTGTATTAATTAATTGTATCAAATTGTATCAAATTGTATTAATTGTATCAATTGTATGAAAATATAATAATAATAATTATAATTTACTAAATCATCAAATAAATATTATGTAAATAGGTGAATGTAAACAACTAGTAAAAGAATATCTTCAATGTCTCAAACAAAATTCAGGGAACAATGGAAATTGTAGACATTTGTCAAAAGCATATTTAAGATGTAGAATGGAAAGGTTAGCATAAGAAGTTATTCAAATTATAATCTTTTATTTTTTTAAATTCTTAAATAAAATTGAATTAATATTATTATAAATTTATTATTATTGTAAATAATATTTTATTATCATTATGACCATTAAAGAGGGTTAATGGATCATGATGAAATGAAGAATCTTGGATTTCAGGATAAAGAATAATTATAAAATAAAATAATTGATAATCAAAAAATATTTAACAGTTAAATAATAATAATAATAATGATATTATTATTATATTTACAATAATCAAATGTATACAATAAATAAAAATTGTTTTTATGTTACAATACTTTCAAAAAAAAAAAAGGAAAGAATAATATATATATATATATAATTGTTTATAATTAAATAAAAAAAGAAAAAGTTCTATATATATTGTAAATTTACAACCAACCAACCTTAAAAAAAAAATTCATTGTTTTTATAAATAAAGAATCAATTTGAAATAGTTCAATTTCCTATAGATAAATCATTTAATGCTACACAAACTGCAGCTTTATGATGTCCATTATATTGTCTTATAGTTTCACCCTGTTGCAATTCCCATAATCTGGCAACATGATCTGATGATGCTAAAATATAATAATATAATAATATATTAATATTATTAATAATAATATTTATATCATTTAATCATTGATAAAAAGAAAAAGAAAAAAGAAATATTTATTTATTTATTTACCAGTGACCAAATAAGCCGAATCAGCTGAAAATGCACAATCCCATACCCATCGTTGATGCCCTTTAAGTTCTTTATCTAATTTAAATTCATGATTTGAAGTTGACCATATTTTAACTGTGGTATCTGCTGAACATGTTGCCAAATGTCTATAAAATGAGATGTCCATATACAATTATTTATATAAAAATATATATTTTAATGAATGTAATGAGATAATAAATAAATAAATAAACAAAAAACTAAGAAAAAAAAAACCTACTTAACATCCGGACTTAATAAACATCGAGTTATATATCGATTATGTGCCGAAAATGTTGTGATTGGTTGTAAATCAGTAGTATTAGACATTTTCCATACATAACAATTACCCTACAAATATTTATTATTTGAATAAATATCTTTATATATATTTATTTATTTATTTATTTTTATTTTATTTATTTATCCTCACTTTATTATTTGCAGCCACGAGCATCGATCCATCAATAGCAACTGTTACAGATCGTAAAGGTACATCCTCTTCTGGAACTAATTCATGAGTACAGGAATTTTCTCCCAAATCCCAAATCTTAATACTTCCTTTCTGATCACATGAAATTAATTCTCCTTGATTGGGGTGTATAGCTACATCATTAACATGAGCTTTATGATCATAATTTCTTTGTATTGATGGTGCTCTAATAATAAAATGATAAAAATCAATAAAAAATAATCAAATTAATCAAATTAATAAAAAGAAATTTGATCTAATCTTTCTTAATTCTACCTTGTATCCCAAATTTTAAGTGTTCCATCTTCACTACCTGTAACCATCCATTTCCCTTCACAATGGAATCCAACCGCTGTTACATTTCCAGTATGACCATCAAAGGATGTTACCTAATAATTTTGAATTCACTATTTTAATTATTTTATTAATTATTTTTTTTAAATCTTTTAAAATATTTAAATAATTAATTATCTATTTATTTACCGGATTAGGATTGGGACTATTAATATCATATAATCGAATATGTTGATTTCCTAAATATGAGAATCAATTGATAAATGAACTCATAATGTGTATATATATATATATATATATATTAAAAGTAGATAAATATTATTATTATTATTATTACCTGCTGCCGCGAGATATCTTTTATCTGGAGAAATACATAATCTATTGACTTGCTGAAAAGTAATATAATGTATTTGTAATTGATTTGTAATAATATATGCTTAATATGTGAGTTATCATTAAAGGGTAAAGACACACACAAACACTAGAATTCTTCTCTTCTTACCGAATCTGGGTGTTGAATAGTTCTCGAACAAATACCACTCAACGCTTCCCAAAAGCGTATAGTATGGTCATAACCTGCTGTAACTAAAATTACTGAATGTGAATCTTGCGCCTGATATGTTTGTGGTGGATAATGGGGATGTTGATTTTGATAATTGTTGTAATGTGGTCTTTCATTTCGTCGCATACTGGGTATTTTGAATGAATTTATTAATATTATTAAAATTGATCAGTACCACATTTAATTTTAATATTTATTATTTTATTGGATAAAAATTTGAGAAAATACATAAGGATCTGATCTTGAAAATTTAGATCTATTATAAATGCCGATCTAAACTTACTAGAATTTCTAATTATTATATCTGTTAACATATTAGATATTATTCTAGAATACTTGCGAACGATATCATCCGCTCTGAAAATATGGTTGGACTGCTTATAATGCAATAATGGAAAGATTTGCTACTTATAGTCTGGCGCATATTCCACTTTAAAGAGTATTATAATACGCTTCAGGCTCGAGATGGAATTAAAAATAGTAACTCCCAACGCCACCTAGTCTTAATGCAGATTACCCAAATGCTCAACTTGAGCCGATTGGCTCGGCTTGGATTTTAATAAAGATCGCTTTTATTATCTAAGGCAAAATTATTTTGCGAAATCGAAATTTTTGTGGTAAAAGTAATAGTTCTATAATAAATTTCACGATTAAAATTCATGGACCTCAGCGTGAAAATATATCGAATTATTTAAAAAAAAATTTATAAAACAAAGCGGATCAACTTCAACTCAAGAAAGAATTATGCGAAGAGCTTTGGTATTACGGAGACTCAGAGTTAAAACCTTAAATGATTTGTAATTATTTATTGCGCAATAATAAGATTCGAGATTTACATGCATATGATTATTTATTTTAAAAATAAGCCTAATTAATGGTGTCTATTATAAAGATAATATTAATTTGAGTGTATGTATTAAACTATCCATTAAAATAAAAACTTAAGCATGGATATAATTTTGAATGTTCAAAAAATGAAATATCGACTCATTTTTGTTCGAATTTTACGTTAGAAAAAATAAAACTTTTCTGTACCAATGAAGGACCTAAAAAATAATGTTTCTGCTTAGCTTTTGTGTACAATTCGAATGAGATCTTCTAGAGATTTAAAACATAATATACTTGTGGTAGTAAACCAAGGTAAAATTATTATATATAATAAAAATTATGCTTTGGGTTACTACCAAATAGATAAAAATTTGGCTACCCCTTCGTAGGTTGTACCTAATAATACCAATACCAAGCGAACGAACCAAGTAATTCTCCTAATCAGAATGCATGTTACCCTCCCTTTGCAAAATAAAATAAAAAATAAAAAGACACACCTTTTGTTTTAAAGAATCCAATGTGTTTTTGTCAAATTTCAGGTTTTCTAATTCTTTCAAAATTTATGTGTCCAAAAATCAAGGGTTTTCCATTTTGATAATGGCAATAACAATATCGTCAAAGTCTTTGGTACGATTTACTACTTCGCTCCCTTAAATACTATAGAAGTTGAAGGTTAGTAAGAAGCTAAATAAAAAAGGAAGATTACAAGTCAAAATATTGTTCACAAAACTTACTGTGCACTCATGTTCAAGTTATAAATTATTCAGTAGAGTTTAAAGTTTAGAGGTAGGATTTACCTGTTGTAAAAAGGTAATATTAGCAGTGCGCAATATTTTTTATTTAGTAATAAATAGTTCCTCCTCTAGAACTAACGGTCTTTGCCAATGACAAAGGCAGGGCACCTGAATTTAGAACTATGGAATGCCTACTTACTTTTTTTGGTGGTTATCTAGAAACGTCTGAAAAAAATTATGACAAAAAAGTACTTTCTTTCAAAATGGAATGTACTTTCTTTCACAACGGAATGTGAAAGCTGAGACTATTATAATCTACTTCAAGTGGGGCCATTTATAATATATATATATACTATAAATGGCTTCTTTTCTTACTCAGCTTTTTTTTCGAAATATTTTAACAACAAATAAAGATGTCGAGTTTCCTAATCTTTAATCATCAAGAGCATTTAAAGTATTATTAGATTATTAGAGTGGGTGTAATATATTTAATTTGAAAAAAAAATGAAACAACTCAGGATTTGGAATTATAATAATTTAATAAAATTGTAATAACATCTGTATCTGAAACATATATAAAAATAAGAGAAGTTTGAATGAAAATAAAGTATTGATGTAGCTTCAAATTAATAGAACTTTATACATAACATAATTATATCAGTTGATTGATTATTGTAGTTGACTATTTTTAGCTATAGTTGATTAATCCATTCAAACAATCTAGATCCAAGTAAACTTTTTAGACATTACATTTAAATTAATAAATAAAATTTAACAATGAAAAGAGATTTGTGATCTTCTTTATTTTGAGTTAATAAATAAAAAAAAAACAATTACAGAATACATTCTTCTACTAAATTAAAAATATAGGCTTATGACTACAATGAACCTTAACTGCACCCCTATAAATACACACCCTTTCTAAATGCACGCTCTAACTTGAACCGAGCATATGGTGAACTTTATAAAAATTTCCCTCTATAAATGCACGCTAATGCTGGTCTCCAGGGGTTCAGTGCATAATCATTGTATAAATCTTAGTTCAAGATCGACTCACGCGGAGCTCCAAATATCAGCACTCAGTTATTGGTAACATCTGCAGTTTATATGATTTTTAAAATTGAAATCTTTTGAATCTTAGCCTCTCTGTGAATTTAGATGTAAGCGAGTGTGCCTTCTAAGACAATATGAACCTTGTGAAGTAGGGAAGGTCGGAGAGTACGTGATGCAAACATATTTAACATCAATAACCTGTTTATATGCAATTAAACTAATTAGGAATATTTACATCATAGAAATCTTTTTTCGTACACCTCTGGGAAAAAATATTAGTAATACGATATCAGGATTTACAATTGGCCAAATAAAGAAATTATGAATGATTGTCTTCCTTTCAAATATAAAAAAATTTATTTATAAAAAAAAAATTATTGGTAAAATAAATTGTTGTATAATCAAAAAAAAAACAAGGGAAAATTCGAGTAAAAAACCAAAAAAAATCCTTTTAGTGTTTTGTTTCTATAAATACACATTGATTAACACTATAAATCTTTTTTCATCATCTTTGATATTTTGATGTCTCTTTTCTTTGTTTCATTGTAATACATAAGGCGAAACTTGTTCAACATCACGACTTTATTAATACCTTGTCCTCTGTCATACTTGTTTACTACGCCATGCATAAATCTTTTAAAATTTAAACGAAAAATATAATTTTCAACATTTCTCGTTAAAAAACCTTTGATACGAGGCATAATTTTATATTTATGGTTATAAAGAATTTCGAATTATTGTATCATAGTTATAACTAAAATAATTATAGTTATAAGATATATGAACAAAAAAAAACAATCCAACAATGCAAAAATTTATTATTGAACATTCATTGTCGAAAGAAATTTTTACTCAAGAAAATAATGTTGAGAATACAGTCAAACGATTATCCGTGAAATTGGCTAACGATTTTATGATGAAAAGGAACTCTTGTGAAATTCGGGAAATTCAAGATATCAACTCCAATAATTCCTCAATTATTATAACCAATAAAAATAAAAATGAAGATGTATGGGACGATATAGATATTGGAAATATTTTGAATTTAATTGATTCGGTTGACCTTGAAAAAGCAACTGTAAAATCATTTGAACAAAAAGTAGAAGAAGAAACGACATCACCAACTAATAATGATGATGATGATGATGATGATGATGATGATGACGATGATGATGATGACGACATTTCTCAAAATATGAGAAAATTACGCCCAAAAGAAGAAAATCACATGATATATTCACAAATACCCGAAAAATTACAATCAATAAAATCCAATAATAATAATAATAATAATAATAATAATAATAAAATAGAAGAAATAGACACTAATGATTCTTTGCTGGACAAAGAAATTGAAACTCAAACTAAAACGAAAAATCAAATGCTTCGACGTACAATAAGCAATCTTAGTAGACGAGGTTCAATTCATCGTCGAAGATCAACAGATATTAATGATGATGCATTTTTAAAGCCATGTATAGTCTCTGAAAAAATTACCGAAGAACCAGAAACGCTTATTACAGACATTACTACTACCACCACTAATAATAATAATAATAATAATAATACTGACTCTACCAACGGACGAAAGTTTTCCTTTGCAAAAAAAAGAAGAGTAATTAATGATGGTAGTAATATTAGTAAAAGTAGCAATAGTGGTGGTAGTATAGGGTTTTTACGTAAAATTTTTAAATCTAAAATTGATCGCAACTTAACTTTAAACAATGTTGAAAATGTTGAAAATGTTGAGAATATTGAAAATATTGAAAATGTTGAAAATGTTGAAAATATTGAAAGTGTTGGCAAGATTGATAATGTTATGACAGAAGAAGAATGGAAAAAAGTATTAGAAAAGTGTGAACAAGAAGATTCATTTTTATTAAAAAAAAATCAAGCACGAGAATTTGTAAATATATCGCGTACCAAAAATAGAAATGAGAATAATGCATCTGGAAATATATTATATTCAAATTTTTACCTTGCGATGCCAAATGGTCAATGGATGGTTAGAACTAGAGACGCTTCAAAGAAAATTATTAGTAAGTGTTATAATTTATTATTTTTATCATTATTTCTTTTCTTTTTTTTTCTTTTTCTTATAATAACGTATAAAATTCTTTTATATTTTCCTCTTCTTTTTTTCTTCATTTTTTAAAAAAATTCAGGCACGCAACATATAGACATTAAATGTATATAAATATAAAAAAAAAATACAAAAATCGAACCTTGAATTTTTATTTCAATTTTACATCACAATTACATTAATTTAGCTCATAAAAGATTTAAAATATAAACCAATTTCTATTATTTATTTATTTATTCGTAAAAATTTCATAAAATATTTTTAAAATAAATATAATAATATCATCCGTCCAACTCATTTTTTACCTTTCGTTTTGACATTCATGTTAGATTTTATTATATTTAATTTTTGTCCACTACTGATAGCTTCGACTCTTGATGCCATCACTTGTTCAATATTTCGATTTATTCCAGAAGTCAATTTCTAATTATTTAAACATGATTTTTTAAATGAATTTAAATGAATTTTTTTAAAAAAATATTAACGAAAATAATGCAAAACCTTTTGTAAGTTCTGTTGTTTTATGACGGATTGTCGTTTAGGTGCAATTTTTTTTGCTGTTTTTTTTTTTTTTTTTTTTTGAAAAGAATTAATAAAATTTATGTTCTCGATGATAAAAATTAAACTGTAAAAAAAAATCAATTATTTATTTTTTTGCTTTGCTTGCCTCCTTTCTTTGGTCCAATTGACCCATTAGACCGATTTTTTTTATTTAATTTTTTTATGTTGGAATTTTTTCCAAGTGGTTTTTGGGCCATGATGATGATAATTTCAAGGTATGTATGTAAGTAGTATGTTAACTATGTTAACAGAATCTGCGATTTTTTCAAAATTTTTGGATCAGGTTACACAAGTCTGTTTGTAAAAACCGTGTCTTTTTGTGAATTGATTCTTTACCTTTAGGTTTTTCGTAACTTTTTTTTTTTATTTAGTAAAATATATATAATTCAATTTAGAAAAAAATGGCTATGCGAGTTCCAAAGAGTGCTTACCCTCAACTTTTTAAAGAAGGTTATAAGGTTCGTTGCTTTTATGAATGAAAAAACACGTTCCTTTTATTCTAAGATCTCAGTGAAAATTTGATCGTGAATAATTTTACGCTTTTGACGCGATGAGGTTAAGATCTCTACACTTTGATTGATTTTATTTTTATTGGTATAATTTGGACGATAGAATCTTCAAGGTGTTGATGAAGCTGTTATAAGGAATATTCAAGCTATTCATGAACTTTCCGAGATTGTAAGAACTTCTTTTGGACCAAATGGTATATATGAAGATCTTATTTATTTGCAATGATAAATTATGAATTTTATAAATTTATTGATGATTAATCAATTAAATCAAAATTTCAGGTCGAAACAAAATGGTGATCAATCACCTCGAAAAACTTTTCGTTACCAATGATGCTGCTACAATTATTCGTGAATTGGAGGTTGTGCATCCGGCAGCTAAATTATTAGTGATGGCAAGTCAACAACAAGAACAAGAGGTAACAATTTATTACAAGAAATATGTTTAAAATATTATTTGCTATTTGGAAATTATAAAAATTGAAGGGAAAAAAAAGTTCAATGACTATTAGTATCCACGTGAATGTATAAAATATACACAAATCATTTCAAACTGACGACCAAACTATTTTTTTTCTTATTCAACAAATTTATCTTTATGTTTGAATAAAAAATATTTTAACAAAAGATATTTATTCGGGTTTTATATTTAGATTGGAGACGCGACAAATTTCGTTATAGTATTTGCAGGTGAACTTCTCCAAAAGGCAGAATATTTGCTGCGAATGGGACTTCACCCAAGTGAGATTGTACAAGGATATGAACTTGCTGTTAATAAAGCATTAGAAATATTGGAAGGTATGTTAAAAATAATTAAAAATGATTTTAATAATATATATATATTTTTTGCATTATTATTATTATTATTATTATTATTATTATTGTCTCAAACTATTTATACAATTATTTATTATATTTAATTATGTGACTTATAGAACTTGGTGTGGAAACGGTTACAAATTTTAAATCTAAAACAGAACTTTTTAAAGCGGTCAAAACAGTTATTGCTTCTAAGCAATATGGAAATGAAGATTTACTTTCAAATTTAGTAGTTGAAGCATCACTTGTTATTATGCCAAAAAATCCAGCAGCTTTTAATGTGGACAATATACGGGTGGTAAAAATCTTGGGTAGTAGTCTTCATGAAAGTCAAGTGGTCAATGGTATGGTGTTTGGTCGTGAACCCGAAGGAATTGTTACTAAAGCAACTAAGGCAAAAATTGGGATTTTTACCTGTTCTTTGGATACTGCTCAAACTGAAACTAAAGGAACTGTATTAATTCATAATGCCCAAGAAATGTTAAATTTTACTAAAGGAGAAGAGCAACATGTGGAAAAGGTATTCAATTTTTTTAATTTTATATATAAATATTATTATTTAATATTAAATTTAGATATATATATATATATTTTTATATAAATTAATAAATAGATATTTAAAGAATTTTATGATGCAAAAGTTAATGTAGTGGTTACCGGTTCCGGCATAGGAGAATTGGCTTTACATTATTTAAATAGATTTAATATAATGGCGGTCAAAGTATTATCAAAATTCGATTTACGTAGATTGTGTCGTGTAGTTGGTGCTACACCGTTGGCTAGATTAGGAGTTCCGACACCTGAAGAAATGGGACATTGTGATATTGTGGAAACAGTTGAAATTGGAGGAGATAGAGTTACAGTTTTTAAACAAGGTATTTTTTATCATTTTTATAAATGAAAAATGATATCTATATAATTATATATGATATTTAATGTATTTATTTAATGTATTTGTATTTAATGTTAGAAAATGAAATTTCCAAAACTTCCACCATCATAATTCGTGGTGCTACACAAAATCATCTTGATGATATTGAACGAGCTCTCGATGATGGTGTTAACATTGTAAAAGCTGTCATTAAAGATGGACGTTTGGTTCCTGGAGCTGGTGCTACTGAAATGGAGTTGAACAAGAGATTATCCTCATTTGGAGAGGTAAATATTAGAATAAATTAACTCTTAATATGGAAAACTTCTAATATGCACATATATATATATATGTATACTATATAAATATTTATTTTAGAAAACTTCTGGAATCAATCAATATTCTATAAAAGCATTTGCGGAAGCACTTGAAGTATTTCCTCGTACTCTAGCAGAAAATGCAGGATTAGATGCTACTCAAATTCTTTCCAAACTTCATGCTGCACATCATCAAAATGATAGTGGTGTGATTGGAGTGGATATTGGAAGTGAAACAGATGATTGTACATTAGATGCTGTTAAAGCTGACATTCTGGATTCTTTATCGGCAAAAAGTTGGGCCTTGAAATTTTCCGTAGATGCTGCTTTAACAGTCTTAAGAGTTGATCAGGTTTGTAAAGCATTATTTTTCATAAACATTAAATTTTATTAAATAAGAAGATTGTTTAATATAATTAATATATTTTTCTTCCTTTTTTTAAAAAATTTCTTTTTAATAGATTATTATGAGCAAACCATCTGGTGGACCTAAGCCTCCACAAAAGAATTCAAATTGGGATGAAGATTAATTATATAACCTTATTATATTTATAAATGTCTTTCTTTTTGTTAGAATTATTTCTGTAGTTCTTAGATCAATATAATAAATATTATTAATTTTTTTTTTTTTATTATCATTTCCTTTTTCTTTTGTTATCATTATTACATTTAAGCATTTTAGATCGATATAAATTAATAATGATTGTACAAACAATAAAATCATTATTTCTTTTAATACAAATTTGGGATCCCTACATTATGTTTTTCTGGCCTTTGAAATGTGGAGGCGAATCTACAAGAAAATTATCATCAAGGTCCTAATGAGGGTTCCTTGATATTGTTATTGAAATTATTATATTTCGTGGCTGATAAATATCATATTATTATCTATTATTATTTATTATTATTGAGGGGGTGACGAAATAAGGATACAGAATAAGAATAATAAAATTATAATATATTTTTTTTTATTGGCTTGTGAATTAATAAAAAAATTAAAAGTTTCTAGCTTATCAATCTAATTTATTTATGTAGAAATAGAAATAATTAATGAACACTGTGATAATTGCTAGTTCATGTTATAGAATAAACGAAATAGTATAAAGAACATGTGAATAAAATAATAAAAATAATAAAATAATAAATGTAAAATAATAAAAAAAATAAAATAATAAAATAATAAAAAAAATAATAAAATAACAATACAAAATTGACAATAAAAGTTTGATATATAATAAAATAAAGGAAAACTTTCTCTCTTTCTTCCCCTCACATAATAATTTTATCAATGAACCGTATATGAAGAAATTCTCTATGACACCAATATATATAACACCAATATATAACAAAATTATAACTGTGAAAAAATTCTATATATAAAAATTAAGATTGAAGAATAAATTGATTTTCATCAACATAATTATTATCTACAACTACTGATACATCCAAAGGTTGTTCGGGTTCATAAAGACAATTATATTCTGGTCTAAATATATTATCCGCTTGTGGATAATAATTGTAATTATAGGTTTGTTCATGTAATCGCCATTTACCTCTTCGACGATTAAAGTCCAAATTAAATATTGAAGGTGAAACATTTAATGGATCTGATAATTGACCATTTCCAATTAATATTTCAACTTCTATTGTATAAGATCTCATTTCATTCACTACACATCTCATCCATCCTTGAATTGTTTGACCCGCATTCACCGCTAATGGTTCTTTTAATAAAAATCTAACTTGTTGCCAATGAGTACGTTCAGCTGCTGGACTAGTAGACATTGTAATCGTACTTCCGTTAATAACTGGTGAAGGTGGTGAAAAATGTAGATCAAACCAACCAGCTATTCCATGAATAATTCCAGTATAAGAAGCTTGCCAAATGAATGGAATCGTCATATCCTGAAGTTCATCTAATGTCACTCTATAAAAGTCAACCACATATCCTCCAGAATTTGCGGGTGCAATTAATGTACGTGGATCAAAACTTCCGACAACGGGCATACCTTTAACACAATAACAAACAAAAAACCACAAAAAAAAAAAAAAAATTGATTTCAACGTACAAAAATTGATTGTTTGTAAATGAATTATCTTTTCAATTATAAATGATTATATTTAAATTAAATAGTTAAAATAGTTAAATCAACGATTATTATATTTACCAAACATTTCATCTTTAGCATCACCATATAATGCGGAAAGATCTACTCCGTAAAAAGAATTTTGTTCCCAAAATCGTGCTTTACTCATTGTCTCGCTCCACAAAGCAGCATCCGTAAAAGGTGCAAGAGATATCGAACCAGTTGAAGGGAAAAGGGTACCACCAGGTTTAAGAAATGTATCTCGCGCATAGAGATAACTTTCAAGCTTTATAAATATAAAATAATAATAAATCGTATATAAATTATATATAAAGAATATGTAAATAATATATAAATAAATAAATAAAAATAAAAATAAAAATAAAAATAAAATAATAAAGCAGATCACTTATAGTTTAATTTAGTTATATATTTTATAGATATAAATAATATACCATTCTCTCATGAATCAAAAGAACTCCAATAGGTTCAGATATGATGGTGTCAACTTGAGGAATAGGAAGATCCGGTTCTTCGATCTTAGCTATAAGAAAATTTTTATTAAAATTAGAATTCACCTTTTTTATTATTTACGGTTTCCACTTTCTTTTACGTTATGTATAACCTTGGATAACCTCGATCTTATCCTTCAAAAATGCATTCCTAATAGTTCCATCACTATCCCCGGTATTAGCTGCATTAACAAGTTTTCGCATTTTCTCGGCCATTTGTGAGGCTTCGACAGCGTACACCTTTTGTGCGCCCGCTTGTACCGCAAAGTAAGATAAGATTCCGGAACCTTTGATCGTTTGGTGAAAAAAAAAAAAAAAAGAGGAAAGTTAATATTTGATATATCCCGAATTTATTATTATATAAATTAAATCTGCAAAATATAATAATTTTTTAATTTAATAATAATAATAATAAATAAATAAATAAAAATAAAAAATTTTATTTACCAGCACCAACATCCAGAATTAATTTGTCATGAAAGCATGCGGGACCATTAAGAAGAATGGCTGACCGGTAAGTGGAGGTACGCACAGAATCTTGAAGCATATTTTGCTGTTGTTAAAACAAAACTCTCTATTTAACAAAGCAGTCAGGAGTTTTTCTTTGACGCGTTGGAACTAAAAGTCCTTGTGTGCTTGAAAACCACCTGATGCTGTAACATGGCATAATATGAAAAGTAAGCCGGATCACGCCCTTCTGTGGAAGGAACTTTACCGTTAGATAGCATTTCGAAAAAAATTTCCCTTAACAAAAATGTTTCATATTTTTCTAACTAGTTTTATATTAAATTTCATTGTTGTGTGACCATTCACGTTTATTGTATATTCTCGTTCTAAAAATAAATAAATAAAATAATGTTGTATTACGAACGTGTGAACGAATTAAGCGCAGCATAAATTCGTCTGTCGCAAAGCAATGGCTGGTTTGAATTTCTACGTCGTTTTCTGTGCCTTTGCCGCTGTATTGGGATCCATTCAATGTGGATACCATGTAAACTTTTATTGATTCAATTTTAAATAAAAACTCAAAAAATATCATTCATTGTTCTTTTCATTCTCTTGTTAGATTGGTGAACTGAACACACCTAAAGATGTAATTTCCTGCAAATCACAACCTAATACCGATCATTATTATTCGGGGGAATATTCCCTACCTGATTGTATACCGATGAATGATGCGCAATTTGGTTTAGTAACCTCGATATTTACATTGGGAGCCCTTTTGGGATCTTTGTTGTCTTTACGTGTCGCGGATGATAAAGGAAGACGCTGGACATTACTTGCGAATAACTTGTTCCTAGGGATCTCACCTTTAATCATGGGATTTGCTAGAAATTATTTTACGTTAGTTGTCGGAAGAGCACTTGTTGGTATTGGTTGTGGTGTAGTGAGTATTCTTTTTTTACTTGATTTATTTTAATTTGCTTGATTTATTTAATAATAATAATGATAATAATAATAATAATAATAATAATAATAAAATAATAATCATCAAGGTGACTGTTGTCGTTCCTATGTATCTTGCTGAAATTTCACCCATTGAATATCGTGGAGCTATTGGTAAAAAATAATAAATATGTTATGGTTAAATAATTATCTTATCTAAACTAGATTAATATATATATTAATTTATAAAATCAAAACGTTTAGGTACGATGAATCAACTTGGTATTGTCGCGGGTATACTTCTTGCACAGATCGAAGGTCTTTATCTATCTAATGTTCCTGGCTGGCGTCTTATTCTCTTAAGTGTCAGTGTAATATCTCTCGTTCAAATTATTTTCCTTGGACTTTCTGTTGAATCACCACGTTATCTTATCTCCAAACCTGGTGGGATTCATTCTGCCAAAAGAACTTTACAAAAGTTGAGAGGAAGCCTAGATATTGAAAATGAATTAGGTGGATGGAACCAAATTGCTTCGGATGATGATACCAGTAGATTAATGCCGGAAGAGAATGTATCACGAAATAACACAGATGACACCAATCCTGTTATATCATCATCATCACCATCTGTTGTATTTCATGCTCGCAATCATCATGATGATTTTAGTGTTTGGCAATTCCTCACTAGTCCTTATTATCGTGCTCCTTTGAAAGTTCTTTTACTTGTTCAATTTACTCAACAATTCTCTGGTATTAATGCGGTTATGTATTATTCAACAACTATTTTATCTAAAGTTCTTCCAAGTTCGAGTGGTTTAATTACAGTTTACATAAATGTGGTGAATTTTTTCATGACGATCGTATCAGCTTACTTAATGGATAAAACTGGACGTAGAACTTTATTACTTTGTTCAATTGGATTGATGAGTATAGCTAGTGCACTATTAGGATTAAGCATTATCAATGATTTTGGCTTTCTATCAGCGTTTTCCATAATATTATATGTTGCAACTTTTGCTATTGGACTTGGTCCAATTCCATTTTTGATTATTCCAGAAATTGTAGATACACACGCAGCTGCCACAGCAGGAAGTATTGGAGTTAGTTTGAATTGGACGACAAATTTTGTTGTTGGATTCTTATTTTTGAGTCTTAACAATATGTTTGGTGGATATGTTTTTTATGTTTTTTCCATATATTTGTTTGTGGCTTTTCTTTTATCTGAAAGGCTTGTACCAGAAACCAAAGCTAAAACTGTTGAAGAAATTTGGAGTGGGTGGACTGGAAGGGTAATTTAATTTTAAATAGTGATCTAATAGTGATTTAATAGTGAATAACAGAATAACAAAAAAAATAATAGTAATATATATATATTGTAAAAATTTTGTTTTTAAATTAAAAATTTAAATGATATTTTAATTTTTATATTTATTTATTTATGAGATTATATCGTCATATATTTTTGTAAGAAATATAAGAAATATAATATAAAAAATTATTACAATTGATAATAAATGTATTATTAATAAAACATGTTATAAATTGACATAGTAGATAAAACTGATTCAAAAAAAAATATATATATATTTATTCTCTGTGTCTATAAACTTTTCCATCAATTCTTGAATATTTAGCCATAACTTTACCACATTTAGGACATGAATGAACACAATCTTTCAAATTATTGACCTACATTTTAATAATAAATTATATTTTATAATAAAGAATTTGATTAAAAATGTTTCAAATACAAAAAAAATTAAAAGAAAAAAAAACAAAAACAAAAAAAAAAAACAAAAAATGAATTATATACACTTACACAAAAAGGAATCAAACAACACCCCCAAGAAGTCAAGCCTAATACCAATAAAGTTAAAGAAGTTAAGTAGGTGGCAGATCCACTTTTGAACTTGGTCGAACTTAATACAATTTGTTTACAATGTGGACAAATTGTAATACAAGGTTCAGTTCGTAAGTCTTGAAGTAATACGGGTGATTGCTCAACAAATAAAGGTAAAGGTTGTGGAATTTCTGCATGTACTTGTTCCCGTTGAGGTGAATGGTATGTAAGGTTAGGTGTGGCAGAATAATGTTTTGTATTAGGCGAATGAAGACGCGTGCTTTCATTCGGTGGCACAATTTGTGAACTCTCAGATGAAGAATAAGGTGGTGGAGGTGGATCCAAACCCGGATTAGAGAAGTTATCTCGTTTGTCGTTTGACATTATAAAGAATTAAAGGATTCAAAAGGTAAAAGTAAAAAGTAATAATAGAAAAAAAAGTTACAAGTAATGAAAAATGAAAATTACGCCAACATTGCAAAAATATTGTGTAAAATATTCATGTGATACTATTACACGTTATTTGATGACTAATTTTATTTTATCGATAATCTCATTCTTCACTTTATTAAGATCTTTATCATCAATTTCTACAATAATAATTTCATCTTCTAATTCTTCATTTGGTTCTTCCAACGCTTCAAATTGTGATTTTAATAAATTTACTTTCATAAAATGATCTTGTCTTTGAATTAATCTTTTCTCTATCAATTCTCTACTCCCTTTCAAATAAATAAACCAAACTTTTATACTAACATTACATTCTTCATCTAAAGATAATTTTCTTAAGTAATTTCTATATTCTAATTTTAATGCGGAACAAGTTACCAAGATCCCTCCTCCTACTTGATTAGTTGAAGGGAAAGAAATCACTTGTTTTAGAGATTCTTTGATCGATTGAAGCCAAGGTTTCCTATCTGAATCATTAAGAGGAATACCCGCAGTCATTTTTTCAATGTTGGATAATGGATGCAAATTATCACCTTCAATAAATGGCATCCCTTTTTCTAATGATATTATATTACCAATAGTACTTTTTCCTGAGCCACTAACCCCCTTTTTTATATAAAAAAGTAAACAGATCAACTGGATTATAAGATTTATAATGAAAAAAAATATATATTTATTTACCATAATTATAAATATATGAATCGGCATTTAAATTTTTTTATAAATATTTTCTCACGCAAATTCAAGATATCAAGAAGATATTAGTGAAACATAATTTGAAAAAGAATCATTTATCTACTTTCATTTCCTGATTTGTTTCACTTCGATTATATCACCTGCTTATGATATACATTCAATTTTGTCACCTGGAACTGATCATCAACTCAACCAATAAAATTATAATTATTGAATTATCGATTATAACATTCAACTTTGTCACATACAGTGCGGAACCTCTATAATAGGTACCTTGAATATCTTTTGATTTAGTAATCAGAATTTAATAAAAATAGTACCATTGAATAGCTCTTGAATAGATAAACAAAATAGGCAAAAAAAATTCTCAATTTTTCTGGTTAACAAAAACATGATCTAATTTAATTTTATATAAATGTAAATATTTTATTAATAAAAAATATATTAATATATATTATTCATTACAATCATTTTCTAAAATAATTTGATTAAGTATATCATCAGGAACTCTTCTATGTGATTTGTATTTTTTTTTTACAAATACTACAAATACTGCAAGTTTTCCTGTTACATCTTTTCTATAAATATTCATATATCTCCATGATTTTCTTGCAAAATGTCTTATTTGAATTAATGAAATAGAATCTAAGGTTTCAGGAACAGTTTTTTGCAATCCATTCCATGTATAATCACAATTTTCATGTGTATATTTTTTTGCTGCTCCCCAAAACATTTCAATAAAGTTCAATTCACAATGATATTTGGAATAAAAAATACATTTATGTCTAGCTTCATTAATTATTGTTTTCAATTCTGACTTTTGTAATAAAAAATCAGGTTGTAAGGATATAATTTTACAAGCACAACAATTAATTCTTGTTGAATCTTTAACTTTGTTTTTGCATAATTGACAATCAAGAATTAATTTATCATATCATAATTCTCATTCAATTAATATTTGTTTAATACCTTTTGATTTGTTTGGATATTTTGAATAATCAAAAGGAAATATCATTAATTAAAAAATATTTTCTAATTCAAATATTGTATTTTTCATTATTGATTGATATCCACCTGAATTTAAATTCATACATTGTATACATAAAGCAACATCAAAAAATACTTTATAATTTGTACTATTATTAAATACAAAAACAGCAATTATATTTGAATGAACTTTTTCAAAATTAATATAACAAAACCTTTTACTTGTTCAACTAAATATTTTACAGTTCACTATTCTTCTTCATTTTTGACTGGATATAAAAATTTTCATGTATTTCTTGAAATATCAGAATATAATTCAACTTGTTTATTTATTAATTTTAAACAACCAAAATTATTATTGATTTTCTTTGTTTTTTTTTATGAAAAAGTGATTCACCAAGTAGTGTTCAAATTATTGAACAGTCATCATTGGTATAAAAAAGATATTCATCATAAGTTATTAAAATATTAAGTTTTTAACTATCTAATAAAATTGGTTCTTTTTGATTCATATTGTCACCCTCAAATATTGATATTAATTTTTCATATTTTTCTATTTTTTTAAAAAAAATATTTTTATATTCTATTATATCTGAATGTTTATACCCATCAAAATAAATTTCTTTTTTTTTGTAATTGTGAAATTAATCCAAGTTTTCATAATTATATTTAACTGTTTTTTCTAAAATTAATTTAATTATTTTCAATTGTAAAAAAAAAGTTGTTAATAAAAGCTCTATACAATTTTGATAAAATTTTTCCTTTATTATTACATCAAGAAATTTTACAAGGCAGAAATTTGCACAAATTTCCAAAGATGTCAAAAATTTCCACAAATTTTCATGTGTTTTTTTCTGTTTTTTAACTTTGCTCACGATTTTTGAAGCACAGAGTAATTTTCTACTAAAGTATTTCTAAAATAGATAGAACGGCCTTGTTCTTAGCTACAAAATGATATATGTTTTATCCTTGTAGCATCGATATTCGCGAAGTTATTTCGGTTTAAAGAAAGAGCATCCATGAAAAAATTGAGCAAAAATTTCCAGAAAATTTTATAACAAGTTTCCAGAAATTTTCACATGATTTTTTTTCACAGGTGCTCTTTCTTTAAACTGGAATAACTTCGCGAATATCGATGTTACAAAGATAAAATATATACTATCTTGTAGCTAAGAACAAGGCCGTTCTATCAATATTAGAAATACTTTAGTAGAAAATCACTCTGTATTTCAAAAATTATAAAGTTAAAAAATAAAAAAAAAATACACAAAATTTACAGAAATTTTTGACACCTTCGGAAACTTGTGTAAACTTTTGTAAGTTTTCACCTTATAAAATTTTCTGATAACAATATTTCAAATATTTTCACAATATTTTACAAAAATTTTCACAATATTTTCACAAAAATTTTTGCAATATTTTATAATATTTCATAAAAATTTCTATATCATTTTTGCTAAATTTATAAAATTTACATTTATATATAAGTAATTTTTTACATTTTATAATTATTATTTTATTGTGATATTTCAAATATTACTATTATTTTATTTATATTAATTTTAATATTTACAAAAATTTTCAAAATATATAAATATTTAAAAATTAATTTTTATTATTCCTCCTTACTTTCATCAATATTTATTATTTCATTATCAGCTTCATCAGCTTCATTACTTTCATCAGCTTCATCACCTTCATTAACTTTATCAACTTTATCAGCTTCATCATCATCACTATCATTTTTTTCATTTTTTCTTATAGATTTTATTTTTTTATTTTTTATTTACGAAATTTCAATTTTAGTAATTCTTTTATTTCTTCTGAAAGCTGTTGATCTTTTGGAAACTGCTGATTTTTTGAAAACTACTATATCAGAAAATTTAATTAGACATAAATTTATGGAAATATCACATGACCTCTAAAAATTTATACTTAAAAAATTTAATTTTTAATTTTGGTCAAGATTTATGTGACAAGAAGTAATTTTCTACTAAAATATTTTTAAAATAAATTGAAAGTCCTGGTTTTTGATTACATCAGTAATTATATTAATTTAAAACCTTCAAAATTATATCATAACATTAGATTTTAAAGATTATTGATTGTATCGCAACCTTTCGAAATTGAAATTTAACAGTTAAATTTCAATATGCATTATTTCATTATCAAAAACCTTCAAAGTTCAATGTTAAATTTTTTTAATGATAACATAAACTTTCAAAATTCAACAGTTAGTATTTTAATATATTTTGTTTTAGGTTTATCGTTTTCAAATTATTTCGAATTTAATTGTTTTTATTATAATCCAATATATATTGTAAAAAATTTCATTTCATAATATTTGATTACTTTCTGAATTTTTACATAATTTATTATTAATTTTATTATTAAAAGATGATAATAAATATTTTATAACATTTTTTTTCTATTTTTCTATACATTTTCATATGATGATGCAATAATGTAGAGTAACTATTTTCTATATAATTCTTAAATATGATACAGGTTTCTATTTTCTGTAATATTATATTACTTAATATTTCTTTTCATCTTTATTCTTTTTTAAAAATAATAATATTTTAACTTTTGTTTTGTTTTTTTTGTAATTTTACTAAAGTTTAAAAAATGTTAGGGTATTGATTTTCATTCAAAAAAGTACATGACTGGCTTATAAATTAGAATGAGTAGTAAAAACATGTCCCATCGTCAAAAAATATTTCATAGATTAGTTATGGGAAAATTTTGTATCCGAATTGTGTACATATATGTGATCTTTTATTTCTTACTCATGATCATTACAAAGGTAAAAAATGAATAGCAGTATTGAATATAATAGATGTGGATAGCCAGTATAAGGCCTTAGTTCCTCTCACATCAAAAAATAGTTCTGAAGTTACTAAGGCCTTTAAGAAAATTTACAATAATCTATCAAATCCTCTTATATATTCAACTCTTCTACAATGTAATGGTAGAACAGAGTTTAAAAAATCAGTAAGTTAGTTGATGCAGGAACATAATGTAACAATTTGAATAATTGGTGTGTATTTTATCAAGGACTTGCTCTCATTGAAAGATTTAATAAAACTCTAGCAGAGATACTTTACAAGATTCAATATGCTGTTGAAAGTATAACTTCAAACTCTAAATTAATAAGAGAGTGAGTTAAGTATTTACCAGAAGTTATCGATTACCTAAATAATTATCTGACATGTCTTATTCAAGTTCCAGGTTTTTCAAAGTGAAGTTTAATTCTCAAACTGGCTATTTAGTTGGAACGTGTAGAATCTAGACCATCAATGAAATGTAAGCATTGTTATCCGTGTAAACCTTCTACAATTTACAAAGACAACGGGATAAAATAATACTAAAACTAATAAATAAAATTAAGTATGACTATAAGTATTACTAATCTTACAACAAAATTATCACAATACAAGGGTTTATACGTAGAAGGAATTAAGTATGATCAATTATGAAAGAGGCGTATTTACTATTAATAGTGGTATGAAGACTTGTTAATAGGAGCAAATGGTTTATTAATTATCAAAATGAATACAACAAACAGAGAACTCAAAGGATTTTGTAATATTAACTTTATTACTTAATAAATCCTAACTAATTCGAAAACTAAGAAACTGACTAG